TTGATTGAAAGGCACACAGGTTCCCGCTGAATCTCAAACAATGGTCCCAAATTCAGTCGAGCTTCGTCCGGTGTAACAACGAGTTGGCTGAATTGAAGCCCTAGTCTGTTTTGATGCCTCACGGCAGTGACTACCGCCGAGCTCAGTCCATCCACACAAACGGCAGCAATTGTGGAGTCGAGTTCATGAGGAATACTAGTGTTCAAAGACATCTTTCCAGGGACGAACAAGTGGGTGGCCCTTTCTGTCACTTGGATAAGCACACCCTCCGGAGTGCAGCCGGCTGAAAGTGTCTGAGCGGCATTATCAAATCCCGTGTCCTCTTCGTGTAGGGCAGTGATTCCTTCCTCCATGTTTGGCTTCATTGAAAGTAGGAGTGTCGAGAGAGGATCTGAGAGCAGCACGTAAATCTCAAGATTCACTTCGTCAATCATCACCCACATATCTCGGATGCTCAAGAATTGATCTAGAGGAGTTGTGGTACCCAACCGGGCCTCAATACCATACCGGAGCTCATGAAGCGCTCCATTCGAAGAAGGAGAGCTAACGAAAAGGCGTTTGCGAGGCACGTCTAGTCCCAATCCGCCCCTAGAATCCGGAACCATAACAGCGTCAATCATGGGAGCCCAGTTGAGGAATTGCTGTATACACCTCGGGGGACATCTGGCCTCGACTTCGAAAAGTCCACCATCAGACATGTTCCCAGATGCAAGGATAAAGTCGCAACCTTCATGGCCCATGTCAAGGAAGGCAAAACCGGTATCGACATGAATATGGACTTGGCCTAGAGTACAGTGGTTTTCGAGATTCCCCTCATTGCCGAACTCAAGGAGATGAATCCAACCGTCTTCTCGAGCGAGATAAATCCCATCTTTTTGCTGACTATAAAGCCAGTTGCGTGCAGGCCTTGTCCATCGGGTCCAGAGAGAAACCTCTTTTATGACATCTCCGTCGGGAATAATCGGCTCATAACCGATCCGGTTTGAGGGGCCACTGCGAGGGTAGACTGCCATAGACGACGAGCTAATGACCAAAAAGGCGGACCCTTTGGTCAATGGAACAATTGTGCTCGGCAACCTGTCTTCCTTGTGGAGCCTGAAATTGTTTTTGCGTGGGTTATTCAAAGAGGATGAATCTTTCTCGTTCCATTCGTAGGTCTCAGCAAAGGTATGGCCATCTCTAGCCACAATGAGAAGTAGGATTATTTTCTCATCTGAAGGTGTCCTTGGGTACAGAAACTCCATGAACAGAATATTGCCATCAATTCTGTAAAAGCTCTCCTACAAAGTCCCAAATCAGCATATTTTCGGTAAGGATAGTTCAATTACTGTGACATACCTTCTCAATTGGATCTAGCTCACCCAAGAAGACCTGTTGATCAATCACGCCAGGTGATTTAAGGAGTAAAATTCCGAAGTAATTGCTTGCTGCCCCAACTGCGACCGCACGGGCTCTAGGAACTGATTAGCTCAGGTTTGAAAGCCGACTTTGCGACTATTGCCCGACTTACTTTGGATCAACGGCGACATGCTTGCCATATCTCTCGGCCAAGCTCACATCAACTGGGAGAGGGCGACGATAGGTTATAAATTCTGGTTTTGATGATATGGGGCCTCGTGGACAGCATAGAAAAAGGAGCTCTTTGTAGTCGAGAGAAAGGACGAGCATTTGGGAAGGTAGGTTATCATGATGGTCCATATAACCATTACTCGTCAAAGCAGGCCCTTCATTCTTTAACTGTTGTTCCCAAGGAATTGGCGAGCCGATATCGAGAACTTTTGCCGATATGATGGTCCCATCAAAGTCTGACTTCTCCATCACGTCTTCCAGATAGCCACCATTGGCAGCCTCTTTGATCTGAAGTCGCCGGTGCCCCACGAATACAACATCGTTAAGTTTCTTGCTCCGCAGACGCACAGGAAGAATCCATTGAATTACCGGACTGGACAGAACCGTCTGGGTCAAAAGCCCCGTGGTTTCACGATCCAGCTCCGGTTGGATGCCGGTTCCCTGTGACATCTTCGTTGCCGAGCGGGACGAAGTGACGACGAGAGAAGAATTATCTAAACCCGTAATATTTTAGGAGATTTATCTTTGACGAGGAAAAGGCATCGAGGGAACGGGCGTAACGGCCAAAGGGGTGAGGTCAATAGTAGGGAACAAGCCCCGACTGCAGGGATGAGGCTCTCGACGTGAGCTAAGCACAGACTCCGCAGCTTGACTTGACAGTGAGCCAATCGAGGAAGATATAGGCCGCGGCGAGTGGCCGAAAATTTTGGTGTTAAGTTGCTGTTTCCGCAGTACTGCAGTCGCCTAGGTCATTGAGGGTATCCAATGATCAACTTTGCGTGGTCATGATCGAGATGTCAAAAGTACTGAAGTGGGGGGGCCGCTGAATCGATTGACAGTCTCTGGGGTTCAATGCTTGTTGTGTATTACAGAAGCACGTCTGAACATCGCCCTGTCGACAGCGAATGTAGCCTTTACCTGCCTCTCGATGTGCGAGAGCTTCGTCGAACTCTAACCGCCACATTAATACTCGCGAGACCCAAAGAAGTTGGAGAACCTGCAAGACTTACAGCGTCGATGGCAGAAGATAAAATTATCGGGTCTTGAATCAAACAGTTCAGATCTGATATCGTGGTCAGCTACCGTGACAGGGAGGGGAGATCGATATGACATGTATACATGTAATCAATAGCTCTGCTTTAAGCGTTCGTGTACCGCCTGCGGGGTGTTCTTCACGGGCTGTCGAGGTCTTGACTTCGAGGCTTAGCCGGACAAGGCAAAAATTACCAGCTTGTGGGAATCCTCTTTGTTTTGAAGTCTTTGACTTAGCCAGCGGAGCCCAGCAGTGGATGGATCGGGAGCTTGAAATGGTGATGTTTTGCCGATGGGAGGGGATCACGTTGCTTCTTTGTGGCCTGAGGCAGTCGGCGGGACTCAGCGGGGGCTCCGCTCTTCTGCCGATGCATGCACTCCCCTTTGGTGTCGCCGGTGCCCTGCAGGGAATGCAAGGAGAAAGCGTGCAAACTCTGTTTCTGATTCCTTAAACATTATTTCGCTGTGATCGCAGGTCTGAAACAAAATTGGGGTTCTGAGTTGTCAACCCAGATCAAATCGCTGCCCAAGCTTAAGGCATCACCATTCTTGCATCCAAGTCAACCAGCAAATCAACTATCAGAATCGTGACTACTGCCAATGGCATGATCCTGGAATGTGATTTCGGAGTCCAAAGTTTCTTTCTTACGACACGTTTCCCTTTCATCCATCCACTTTGGCCTCTTGGTCACTGTGAAGCTTGACAAATGGATTCACCAGATATCAAACAACGTGATGGCAGCCCTTCAGAGAGCCCAGGCTTAGTTGACGATGAGAAGCTCTCGATTGCATCATCGAAAGATTCCCAAGAGTTATTGAATATTCAGCAACTGAAAAAGGCACGAGCAGAGAAAGCACTAGCAATTCGTCAGGCATGCGATACCCATGACGTGGAAGCGCTGGTCTCGTATGCGACAAGCGAAGGTGGCTTGATTGAGGATGAACTGCGACAAAGGGCTTGTGCGTAATACCTTTTTATAAAAGCTATTGGACCGTCTCTGAGCTAACCCCTGGCAATCAGGGCCTATATTCCTGCAATGCGATGAAAGCACACGAGTTGACGATCTCAACCCACTGGAGACTTTACCCCGGCATCGCGATGAAGACCAGGTTGAGTTAGATGTCAATCGCTCATTTGTTTACTACCCCAACGGTGAGTGTGAGCTGCAACGCAATTTATTTGACTTGTGCAGAATCGCTGATTGAACTGGTTTAGCCCCTGAAGATGAGCTCTCCCAAAAGAAAGAGCAACTTTCCGACTTGATAACCCAAGTTCTCAGAAACAATCCCATGCTATGCTATTTCCAAGGATATCATGATATTGTGCAAGTTCTTCTCCTCGTTCTGGGTCGTCAGAAGGCCACGTCGGCCATGGCAAATTTGTCTCTTTTCCGCATTCGAGATTACATGCTTCCATCACTCTCCCCAGCTGTGAAGCATCTGCATCTTATTCCTGCAATTATCGAGACCACTGATCCCGCATTATGCCAACACCTCAACAATATTCAACCATTCTTTGCTCTCGCGGCAACTCTTACCCTTTACGCCCATGACATTCAGGAATACAGCGACATCGCCAGGCTTTTCGACTTCCTCCTGGCTCGAGAACCCGTGGTCGCCATCTACTTGTTTGCTGCAATGATTCTTTCCCGGAAGAAGGAACTCTTGGAAATCCCAGTGGACGAGCCCGAAATGCTCCATTTCACGCTTTCTAAACTTCCTTGTCCGCTCGATCTAGATGGCCATATTTCTAGCGCGGTACAGCTGTTCAACGACCACCCACCGGACTCGTTGCCCTTCAAAGCATGGAAGCATATCTCAAGCTACAGTGTTCTGAAGACTTCGCGCGACCTGTCTCATCATCCAACAGTGGAAGAGGCGGTTGGTCTTTTCGAACGACAGGCGCGACAAATCCGCTACGAAGAACGTCGGAAACGAGCTCTCGAATTTGCCTGGAAGCATCGCCGAACTGTGGGCTCTATGGCTCTGGCAATTGCCATCGGTGCTGCCTCCATCTACATTCGGAAGAAGGGTCTTGACACCTCCATCTGGTCTTATTTGGGTCGACTCCAGACCATGATCCTCGGGTAGGAGACAGGATCGACACCGAGTTCCTCAATCCCCTATTGTACGATAACGACGAAAGCAACTCTCATATTGCTAGTATGAAGATTAATTCAAAAGTCATCTATTTTTTTTAGAAATATTGCAAATGGTAATGAAGGTCTAGCCATGTAGTCAGAGTAAGTGTGGGCATACGGAGTATAGTACTCATTCAAGTTACTCCTAAGGGGACCAAGTGTGGCTGAAAGTGTGGCGTGGCCCGCGGGAGGGAAAGCTGATGTGTACACTTCAACCTCCCCGATAACACCGAGACTCTCCAACTCAATCCCACCACAATGGCAAACCGGGGCTACGACGTGGTTGTCGATGTGGATGCCGAGGTGTGTACAATTTCCCTCATTTATTTCCTTTATCTTTAATTACTCACACTCCCACAGGGCGACCTCGGCCATACCGACCTCCAAGAGGACCTTGAATTCCACCCATCGAGTAAGTTCCCCAACGTCAGTCCAGGCTTCTCGACTCGACCAGCCTTCTAAATACCGTTCTTGCGCCCGTATTATAGACTTCGAAAACGACCAACGAAGCGCCAAGGTCCAGGCCGATTCGCAGCCTTTCCTGGGCGGCGGTAGCTCCTCGCGCGCCGGCCGTGATCGATCCCCTGGCGGCACTCCCACCAAGCACAGCTGGTGGTCGATTCACTATTACGAGCGATTTTTCGATGTCGACACAAACGAGGTCCTGCGCCGCTGTGTTGCCACGCTTTACCCGCGCTCCAACTTCCTGGATGTGCTAGAGGGCAATGCGGATTTGTACGGCCCTGTCTGGATTGCGACGACGGTCGTCGTGATTCTCTTCTTGACGGGTACGATTTCGCAGTGGTTATCAAACCGCCACGAACAACACTTCGAGTACGACTTCAAACTGCTCTCCGGTGCGGCGGGTCTCATCTATGGGTATACTGGTCTTCTGCCTATTGCGCTGTGGGGTGCTCTGCGCTGGTTCGGGAGCTCGACGGCTGATCTGATTGAATGCTGGGCTCTTTACGGATACTCTAATTTGGTTTGGATCGCTGTAGCTCTTTTGAGCTGGAGTCCGTTGACCGCGCTCAACTGGGCGCTTGTTGGCGTTGGCTTTGCATGGACGACTTTCTTCCTCCTGCGGAATCTTTACCCCGTGTTGAATGCCACGGATGCCAAAGCTAGCAAGATTCTTTTGATTCTAGTTGTTGTCTTGCATGCAGCCCTTGCTATTACCATCAAGTTCCTCTTCTTTGCGTGAGTGCTTCCGCACTATTATTAGTGCACCTTTCCAGTTGGGTACTAACTTTACTTTCTAGGCACGCTAGCCCTGTTGAAGACAAGAAGGACAACTAGTATCCTATTTTCCTATAAAATGGAGATGGAGCGCAAGAGTTCCGTGGATTAAGATATTGGAAATGTCGCCGGTTTGCTCGGGTAGCATGTGGTGTTTTGTGTTATCTCATTGGTGTGGTCTGGATCCGATCGCATGTCTTGTATGTGTATGCGCAGGTCATCAATGGCTTGTAGTTTCAATGAATGTCCCATTTGCATTTAATCAAAGATACGAGTCTTTGCTGTCCCCAGTCTACCTGAGCACAGTAGTGCTCCAAGGCTTGAATGATTCAAGTTCAAGTATTACCTACTACTAGAAGTACTAATAGCCCTGGAGTACTAGTACTAGTTAGTACCTTGTAAATACTCGTACTACTAGGTCCATCTATCACGATTTATATATACTACCTAGGTACTCTTCAAGTGCTACTGGTAATAGTACTAGTGGCACGCAGATATATATGCTAGTGGGCTACATCAACTTGACGGCTGTACTAGAGCCACTGGTACCTAGGTACCTATGGAATATATATCGGGGAAGTCTTAAGATTCAAACTTGAACTTGAATGAAACATGAACCAACCCGGCGGCGAAAGTGTGAGACCGTGCCGGTAAGTTTTATGAACACTAGCAAAGTAGGCATAGTACTACCTACCTACTATCCTACTAGGTAGTAACCGTACCTACTAGTAGATATGTTACTAAATACTGCATGTCAAAAAATACCATCGGGACGACCGTATGTTGAAGCTCTTGGGAACAGGGCTGGCATGGAACTTGAAGGCGTGGACCCTCGTCGAAGCACATTTAGATACTACTAGTACTAGTAGTATTTAGAAGCAGTTAATTGAAATAATTCGAGAGTATTGGTACACCCGCTGGCAGATGGGAATCTGTCATTCCTACTTAAACCATCCGTCTTATAGACTCGGAACCAACTATGTTCCTCCATCAAAACCCTCCTACTTCAACTTGAAATTGGATGCCCAGAGCGTGAAGCAAACGTTGGAAAGACCGAGATCCCGGGAGACCCGAGACCTGGCCATATGATGAAAACCGATTTGAATCTTTGAACTTTTACTTCAATTCATGGAATGCAACCTGATTGAGAGGTGCCAACTAAAAACAGTATGACTGGCTGTTATTGTTTCATCATTTCTAACGCCATGAATAAACCTCTGCGTGTCGCGTTCCAGCCATACACCAGACCTGGATTCTGTACCCCAGCACACCGAGCACAACACCGATAAGCGAGTCGTCTATTTGAGCTTCTTCTTGGGGCGGAGCTGGTTGGTGTGACCGCACTTCTTCTTACGGCAGTTGGTGGCACGGGGAGGGAGACGGGCCTGTTGATTTTGTCGCGTTAGTAAGTTGGTTCTGAAAATATTGCAGATCGATGTGATTCGGCCCGGTGGGGGGGTTTTTTGGCGATGACGTTTGGACCGAATCTGCGGTGGCGGGCGGAAGGGGGATTTCAACGTACGTAGCACTTGCGGCAGATGGACTTCTCGCAGTTGTACTTGGAGGCAAGGGCCTTCAGGGAAGGCTCAATGATACCACCACGCAGACGGAGGACAAGGTGAAGGGTGGACTCCTGTAGGTCGGTTGTGTTAGCTACTATTTCGACGTAGGTGGTGATTGATGGTGGTCAGGTCGGCAGGGCAAGAGCAATTATTATCCTCCTCTTCCAATCACGGTATTGACATTCGCTTTGTTCCAGTCGTAGACGTATTCAGATCCCTCTGTGGAAGCAAAATGTAACCCTTTGTCTTGCCCTTGCCCATGCCCATGCCCATGCCAAACCCGACCAACCAAAAATATCGAAATTCGAGGTCGAGGTTCGTCATACCTTCTGGATGTTGTAGTCGCTCAGAGTGCGGCCATCCTCGAGCTGCTTGCCAGCGAAGATCAGACGCTGCTGGTCAGGGGGGATGCCCTCCTTGTCCTGGATCTTGGTCTTGACGTTGTCGATGGTGTCGCTCGACTCGACGTCGAGGGTAATGGTCTTACCCGTCAGGGTCTTGACGAAACTATATCGAGCGCGGTTAGCCCAAGTCCAGATTTCCGTCCGTTTGGTTTGGTGATGTGTTGCTCTTTCGTAGATCGTCGGATAGAGGGGGAATAGAGGGGGTGCGGTTCGCGGACGACGAAAGCATTCGGAGATTCAAGATGACCTACATCTGCACTGGAAGTGCGCGGAAAAAGAATATGTTAGCTCGGCATGTTCACGCAGGTCTCAGGGACGTATTTCAACGGGTTTCATGGCACGTACTGGTTGCGATTTCTCGTTGGTGTCGGCGGTCGGTCGCTGTGTTCCAGGCGGAGGAGGCGATACAATTTGATGGTGCCCGGGGCGGTGCTCGCTTAGCAAAGGTGGACCGAACCGGGGGTTACCTAAGCCCTAACCAGCATCCGCTTTGGGCTTAGTTAATGGCACGTGACATTACTTTCCATTTTTGGCATCATGCGTCATGGAGATCTATGAAATAATAATACTAGAGAACTTTGGGAAGTTGGTCGATCATCCTAATTTATTTAAAATTGAGATTTGTAAATAGATTAATTTAATACTTGAATATTCCATTCAATGAGAGACACAGAGAGTGACAGAGAAATAGCAAGGTGGTATTCTTTATCAAATAGATTGATGATTCCAACGCCTAACTAATGATACTAGTAATAACCAAGATATCGGACCAAACGCCGCTATGATGCCCAGGTGGGATAAATGATAGATAGCTCAAACCTCCAGATCTGAAAATTGTTCATCAAGGTCGTCCACATCGTCCTCTTCCTCTTCCATCGCCCACTCCATCATGTATTTGTCCCGCCGTTGATTAAGGAGAAATTTCGCGACCCTCCATTCTGCTACGGATACGGCCCGAACAAGTGTTGTCAATGTGATGGAAGCAAGCTGAGCCCCCAATTCATAGAAAGCCCGGGCAGTCTCCGGGAGCTGTGATTCCCATCGGTATCGAGCATACCAGGAACCCGGCCGCAATGCCTTTGAACTGGGATCCGTGGAGGCGGGTTTGAGGTCCGCCATAACTGCTTGCAACAACGCACTGAGTGCTTCGTCTGTGTCTGTACCGACAGTTGGAACCGGGTCAGCATTTGGGTTTGTCTGATTCCCGGCCGTTGGTCGGCTAGTTGGGAACATTTCCGCAATCGGATTGGATGTTTTGACATTATGCAGCCAGTCCTTCTCATACCAGTCCAGATACTGATCGATTTCGGAGAAATTCATGCCCAATGCATCATGATCGGTGATGTGCATTAGTTGCTCTTTTCCAATTTGGCCGCCAGTTTGCTCATGGTTGCTAAATTGTCGCTGGGCTTGCATCCATACCTGCCAGTTTACGGTCTGCGTTGCAGGCTCCTTGGACGTGGCGGGATTTCTTTTTAAATGATCAAAAGGAAATAGCAACTTTGTTGCCAAAATGATGAGGACAATGGCCTGTACTTCAGGCAGATTGAGGGCTTCCTTGCGTCCATTGCCTCGAATTCGTGTGGGATATTCAAATGTAATTCCAAGAATGCCCTGCAGTGTTTTGGCCGTCTCGTATACATCGACTACCAAGCTGTTAGTACTTTTCCATGAATAAACCCGTATTTAATACACATACTGGGAACAGCCATTCTTTTGATGTGCCGATAAAGCACAAGAGGCGCATTTAGAGGAGGGAGCGTAATCCCGAAGCGACGACTATAGAAAGCACCCAGCTCGATAAATCCGCGATGCATTCGCTCGGGTTTAGGCATGTTCTATGTTTAACTGGGTTAGAAAGGTCCCTGGAACAAGGTAATGAAGAATTCGACACACGTACGTTGATTTCAAGCCTCGCAACAAATTCCGGGGGAAGTTTCTCACCCATTTCTTGCGGAATACTTCTCATAGCTCGTATATAGGGTATATCCTGGCGAATGATCAAGCTAATATTCTCTTGTTAGCCAAGTACGACTTCAAAGTGGGCTGCCAAAAATATGGAACACACCGGTGCAAGTCAACCACGCAAATAGGAATCCGCATCAAGACTGCTGCTAAGTAGCAGAGACCGACAGAGTCGAGCAAACGAGGCCATTGGAGAATATGGGTTTCTGGTCTGAACCCTGATTCATCAGCACTGTCGTTTTCCGATCCTGCCGGTGTTGTCTGAGAGCTAAATATTTGCGGCTCATCATCGTCATCGTCAGTAGTTTCATTGATTCGCATGGAAAATCCCCGCAGTCTCAAGGCCCAGAGATCTCGAACAACGCCCTGGAAGAATTCGTTAGAGCTGGACATTTGGGGTTGTGTATGCGAAGAGTATATCGTTCTCAAGTACTGAGACTCACCTCGAATTGCTCCGGAAACCCATGGTCCTTGACTAGAACATGACATTGCTTCCATAATATCAATTGATAGGCCTGTAGATAGAGCGTGGATGCCCATCGACCGCGATATGCTATTTAATTGAGTTAGCGAAGGTCGGCAGAGCCAGTAAGCGGTTTATCGGATGCAGATTCCACATACTCTTCCTTGAGGTCTCGGCCTTCTCTTTCCTCACCCGATGCGTCTTTCCTTGTGTTCCGAAATCATCCGGATCGGCTTCGACTTGAACGCCCTACCTGATGTGTTAGCGTCTATTCTTTGGATACCTACATACTTCTGCCCCGCTTGCAGATATATGATGCAGGTGTGATAACATCATTAACAGGGAGAAAAGTGAATGGCGCATACCTCTTGCAAATGGCCACGGCGACAGAACCAAAGGCCGTTATCCAGATAGTATCGCTTCTCACGGCATCCTTCTTGGCCACAGACCCCGCGGGTGACATAGTCCATGCCGAGGCAGATTTGGTCATGCTGGTTGGGCGGGAATGTTGGTCCGGCGCGGAGTGTTGGCAAGTCAGTCCGGAAACTTTTTTCTGCCCACCGCGTTTGCTGCCAGCAAACCACACACGGTTAGATTTGACTTATACATGTCGACTTTCAAGGATCCAACAAAGAAACTTTGAAGTACTAGGTAGATAAAATGAAGGTAATAAAATGAACGAAAAATGAATAATTTTTCAATTTTCCTTTTGGCCTATTGACGGTTTTCAGGTGCTTATAGTGCCTCAGGTGTCTACTTGGTATGCTACACAGATTCAAGTTGATTACACAAAGATAATTTGAGAGGATGAAACCAAGCAAGGCTTTCATATTTATTCGTTCGTCACACTATCATGAGATGCTGGAGTTCAGAACTGTTCGGACAACACGTTGCATGCCAACCAAAGCAATTCTTTTCATCGGTCCAGCCTACATCCCAGGCTAGATGTTGGACAAGATGCTGAAGAAGCGACCAGGTCCTTCATTGAACCATTGAAGATGAATTTTTTGGGGGAGTGAATCCCATTTTGAAACATAAAAGGTTGACATAACATGTGAGGAATCCAATGTCATGACATTTATTTGGGGGCCTCCTTGGCCTCAATAGCGACCTCCTCACCCATGGCAGTCTGGATGATGACGTCTGTAACGATTGGTTAGATCCAATATTCTCGATTGATTGATTGTAGAATTCCAGGTTGTACTTACTGACGTCCTTCTCCTCATCACGGAACATCTTGATGATGCGCTCACCGAGCTCGTTGTCGGGGACCTTGACATCATCCTTGGTGTCACCGTCATCCTTCATGAGGGAGAGGAAGTCATCGTCGGTGATGTCGAGCTAGAAAGGAGGAGAGTTAGTTTGCATGCCCAGGAGGGGAGAAGCGGGGTAGGGCGCAGGGGCCGGGCCACTTACGAGCTGGTACTCCTTGCGGCCGACCTTAGGGACGTCCATGTTGTGGGTGGAGGGAGAGAGATCCTCGAGCTTCTTGCCGGTGAAGATATCGATAGCGACAAGGTGGACCTTGGCGTGACCGTGCTTGCCAGTCTTGGAGGTGGACATGTCGACGATCTTGCAGGGACGGCCCTTGATAACGACGTGACCGTTCTTACGCAGAGCAGAGCACTGCATGGGGTAGGTGGTCGAAGCGCCAGCATCGGCGGATTCGAAGGTAACATCGTGCTATTCATCTTGTTAGTATACCAGTGCCATTTGGTTCAAAGTATGGTGTGGTCTGAATGGAGGGGTGGGTGTGTCGCATGGTGCACCCGGGAAAAGAGGGGAGCCGCAAAGGATGCGGGGCTGGAAGACCAGCCTAGAGCTGGGTGATTGGGGAGGAGTCGGGGAAGAGTAGTTTTTCAAGAGCAAAATCTCTGTAGAAGAGCGCATACCTCGTCAGCCATGGTGAGTGAGTGGTGGGGGGGAGAGGAAATAAGGAGAGAAGTTGTTAAGGATGGGGGAGATGGAAAGAGGAGAAGTTTTCTCTCGAGAAAAAGGCTTTGTGGTGGGGGGAGTCGTCGCTACCACCAAATCCGGCTTAGCGTCCCCGTGTCTCGCGGCCAACTGGACGTGGTCTTTCTCCATACATTAGCTTTGGCTTTAGCATTAGCATTGACATTGACATTGCCATTGCCATTGCCACTGCTACATACCCCATCCAGTTCAATATCATGTGGCGTGACCGTATATCAGGCCAGGCTACCCCCTCCCAGAATCGAAATCCCTCCCTACCCCGGCGATCCTCCTCTCAACTCTCCCGTGCTCCTGGTGCTGGTCCCGGTCCCGGTGGTCCCTATAACAACCGTCCCGGTGGCGGCGCGAGAACCTCCTCGACACCTTTACTCCTGAGTCCGAATGATTCGACGGCTTCGCTTCCTGGAACTACACCTGCGCCAAATGGATTAGGATTGCGACAAGCCAGTGGTGGCCAGCGAACACGCCCGGCCGTCGTTCCCGATCCATTGGAGGTCTTGAATGGAATCATCGGGAAAGAGCAACCACAGAAAGACCTTCCACAATTATTGGACGAGCAATACACAAGACCAGACGAGCTGGTAGAAACGATCGACTTTAATGGATTGAGCCTCGAGCAATTCGTCAACAAATCAGACCCGCCCCCGATCAGAAGGAGTCCAAGTAGCGATGTCAACGCGCAAACGATCCAGCAGTTCGAACAGGAGCGCGACAAATTTGAGGAGCTACATACATCAATCACTGGATGCGATGATGTGTCCAGATCGGTAGAGATGTATCTCAATGACTTCTCAAATGAGCTGGGGGCCGTATCGGCGGAGATTGAAACATTGCAGACCCGCTCCACGCAATTGAATGCGATGTTGGAAAACAGGCGCAATGTGGAACGTCTCCTAGGACCCGCTGTAGAAGAAATTAGCATCTCTCCCAAAGCAGTGCGCACTATTGCCGACGGCCCCATGGATGAAAATTGGGTGCGCGCCCTGAACGAGATCGATGCGCGAACGGCGGGTATCGAAGCCAAGGCGTCATCTTCTAGTGGCTTCAAAGCTATTGAGGATGTCAGACCGCTACTGGTCAATGTGAAAGATAGGGCCATTGAGCGAATCCGGGACTACTTGGTATCACAGATCCGAGCCATACGATCACCGAACATCAATGTGCAAATTATCCAACAGCAGCGATTGGTGAAGTTCAAGGACCTCTTTAGCTATCTCTTCAAAGCCCACCCCAAACTTGCCGGAGAGATTTCCCAAGCTTATATTAACACAATGCGCTGGTACTATACTTCCAATTTCACCCGCTACGTTCAAGCCCTTGATAAGGTCAAGGTATACCCAAGCGATCGGAACGAAGTATTAGGAGGAGATTCTCATGGAAGCCGAGGGAGCAGTATTCTCCAGAGCGGCCGAGCTGGCTCTGCCGCCCACGACCCTTTTTCACTGGGGCGTCGGATTGATGTTCTTCGAAATGGAAATCAGCAGGCACTCTCATCCTATCTCGCCGAAGAGGATCACTCTTATCATGGCATCGAAACACCATTCCGGAACTTCAATGTCGCTTTAGTGGATAACTTATCGGCGGAATATTCATTCCTTAGCGAATTCTTCCCACCTATGACCTTCCATCAAATCTCGCGCATGGCGACAGACATCTTTGAGCAATCCTTCACAATTGGCTCCAATCTGACCAAAAAGCTGATCGAAAATACCACGGACTCCCTGGGAGTACTCATGTGCGTGCGACTGAATCAACATTCGGCTTTCGAACTGCAACGGCGCAAGGTACCTGTCGCCGATTCCTACGTAAATGGAATTAATATGCAGCTGTGGCCTCGCTTCCAAGTTATTATGGATCTTCATGGAGAGTCGCTGAAGCGAGTTGGATCAAATACAGGGCGCAGCGCGGTCTCTGCCCTTTCGATCGCTGGCGGCGATGATCTGAAGAACTCTTCTGCACCACACTTCCTGACGCAGAGATTCGGACAATTGATGCATGGAATTCTTGTTCTCAGCAGTGACGCTGGTGATGATGAGCCTGTATCCAATAGTTTGGCTCGACTAAGAACCGAATTCGACACTCTCCTGGCGAAGCTGAGTCGCAACGGCACGGATGCAAAGCGCAGGGAGCGTTTCCTTTTCAACAATTACTCCTTGATCTTGACAATTATTAGTGTAAGTTGTTCGAAATCGACAAATTTCGCAGGAAATGCTGACCAGTCACCAGGATACCCAAGGCAAATTAGCAGTGGAGCAGCGACAGCATTTGGACGAGATGTTGAAGAATTGTAGCAAGCGTTAACGACCGCATAGCGTATGGCAATTGTGAAATTTGCCGGTTTCTCCAAACTATTACCCTTGAACATAAGCATTTTAATTTAATCATACCTTACATACTCCGTATAACTGTATAACTACTAGTATGCTCAGTCTCTTTTTGAGTAGGCGGAAGGAGATCGGCGCGATCTCCGGCCTCGGCCAGTTAGGGTGGGGGGGGCTCCTTATCGTCCGCTGCCAGCGCATCTCAACCCAGCTTGCTACACTCCCCAAAATGTACATAAGGAGAGCTGCCATAAGAAGTCCAGTGCTAAGTCGCTGCTTTTCAAGCAATCGAGTCTGCCACGCAGATTTTACACATGCAGTGAGCGCTCCTTTCCCGCAATCGAGCTACTAGCGGCGAACCTTACGAAGGTCCTTGACCTCGAGCTAGAAGCAGCCTCACAGCTGCCTTCACCATAGGAGCTCCCTTGACTGACTCTAGACAGGTAATTGGCGCTGGAGTGGTTGGACTCGCAGTCGCCAGGCAAATAGCAGCTCGTGAAGGCACCTCCACGATCCTCCTTGAACGACACGATGCGCCAGGAACCGAAACGAGCAGTCGCAATTCCGAGGTGAGACGCAACTCAGCATACAATAATAACTACCGGAAAGCTCAATTCTGAGCTTAATTGGAATCCACCACTAATTGTACGCGCCCTTATGCAGGTCATCCATGCCGGTCTCTACTACCCTGCCGATTCCCTCAAAACAAAGCTCTGCATCCAAGGCCGCAATATGCTCTATGATCTGTGCTCCAAGCACGCCATCCCACACAGGAATACCAAAAAATGGATCGTCGCCCAAACAGCCGAGCAATGGGAATCCTGCCTGCGGGTCCACAAACATGCACAAACCCTAGGCGATGCTCCGACCCGGATCGTCGGCCGCGATGAAGCGGCCCGTCGCGAACCCGACGTCAAAGCGGATGCCGGCATTGTTGAGAGTTTAAGCACGGGAATTGTCGATTCACATTCGCTGATGACATATCTACAAGGAGACTTTGAGGACCGGGGCGGTGATGTCGCATTCAAGACGAGAGTTACCGGAGTCGAGCGCGTGAGCGATGGATATGAGATCACTGCCGTTTCGGACGAGGATGGCTCCGTGACGACTATCACAGCGGAGACTTTAATCAATAGTGCCGGACACGGCGCATGCGCCATCAACAACCTTATTCTTCCAGAGGAACGACACCGAGAGCCGCACTACGCGAAGGGCACATATTTCTCATACGGCGGATCACGACCAAAGGCCTCAGTTCTCGTATACCCTGCTACCGTGCCTGGCCATGGAGGTCTAGGAACGCATTTGACACTCGATATGGGAGGGCGTATTCGTTTTGGTCCGGATGTTGAATGGGTGGATGACCCTAATGACCTTCAGCCTAGCGCTGCGCGTTTGGAACAAGCTATTCCCGAGATCTTAGCATACATGCCAGGCGTGGACCCTTCAGCCATCTCTCTTGATTATTGTGGAATTCGGCCCAAGCTAAGCCGAGGTGGGGGTGTGAACATCGGGAAGACTTTCCAGGATTTTGTGATCCAGGAAGAGGAGGGATTCCCAGGCTTTGTGAATCTGTTGGGTATTGAAAGTCCTGGATTGACGAGCTCCTTGGCTATTGGGGAGATGGTTGATGGGATTCTCTACCGTTGAATGACCTCAGAAGTGATAGATAGGATTTATGTTCGTGTATTATCTAGCGACATCGGCAAATAAATCCAAATAACATAGAGTTATCGATAGCAACGCCACCAGAAATTTCATCAAGTTGCTTTACTCTCCTGGAGCTACATTTTGGAAGGCCGCGGGGGCAGAAGGATATCTTCAACAATCTCGAGCACAGCATGTGCAGCCCCGAAAGAGTGAATGTATCCACCAGCACCGAATCCTAAATTCATGGATTCTAGTATTCAGCAGAAAACGAGTCGTGAAGAGGAGAGATACTTACCGTAAGCATGCACGATCTCTTGTCCATCTTTTTCTTCCCTTTCCAATCGAATGCCTGAGCTTCTAGCGGGGCGAACGCCGACATTGTGTCCAAGAATTTCATAATCGTTCAGGTTATTGGAAAACACCCCAGGAATATTGTTGTGCACTCTGTTCACAATCTGATTTAATGTCAGTTGCTAATAAATATCCCATCGATGGATGGGATCTTGTGCCTTACATCTTGAGAAACATCCCAATCAAACTTCGCATCGCTGATAGAGACCTGTGAGTTTCACTATTTGGAGACCATCAGCAGTCAGTATGAATTGAAGTCACGTTCGTCCGTGTTGCCTAACTCCGCCGAGAATAACCGTGCCATCCATTCGAGGTATCGCATATGTGTAGTTTACCCCATCATCTCGCTGCATGGCCTTGTCATAGTTATGTTTGATGACTATAGTTTGTCCCCGGATCATTTGGATATCTTTATCCTGAACATCTAGCAATGAGGCGGACCCGACTCCCGTGGCATTGATGAGAATGTCGTGACCCATGTGCTGAATATCCGATAAAGATTTAACATTCATTGTTTTGAATGAAACGCCCGAATTTTCGAGTTTCTCCTTCAACCAAGGGAGGAACACATTTGGGTTCACCACAACGGTTTTATCTGGCAATGATCGGTTATCATGATGTCGATCCTCTGAGCCTATATAGAACCTACATGTCACTCCGATGGTCGCACCAGTAGGTAGTTTGTCAGAAGAAAGAAACTGAAACTAAAGAAGATGAAGATTGAAATGAGCATTGAATTTCGAATACAAACGCAGTAGAGCATTCGAGATACCTCTGGCATAAACTTTTGCCACCAGATATCGCTTTCAGTACGGTCATCATCAAAAATATCCTCGAGAACAATCCGTCTGATGCCGGACTCGGGCCCAGGATACTGAAAACTCAATTTCCAAAGTTCAGAAAAAGACCGCAATTGCATTTTCCGGTCGCGGCTTGAAGAGACACCTCCAAGGACAATCAAGGCCTCGGCCCAGGGACTGGCCCATTCTATACTTGGATCGTCTCCGGGTAGATCTCTTGCGACCACTGTGACTTGATGGTTCCGCGATAGCAGGGTGGCTGTGGCTAATCCAATTATTCTAATGAAAACAGCAGAAGATACATGAGATTTTCATCCTTGCAGATAGGCAGTTGAAGTTGGAGGAACTCCAACAAGGAGGTGTTTTCAAGTTGCTTACCCAGCCCCGAGAATAGTTATGCGTGCCATTTTGAAATGAATGCGTGAGAAAAAAAGCAGTCCTGATGTTGTGAGCACCAGATGCCAGTGGGATTAAATAAGCGATGAAGGACCGGTGATTGCCCCTGGGCTACATTTGGCAGCTAATCATACACCCCCACCGAAGCGTCCAAAAAGCACGAGGCCAAGATAACAAGTGGGGTATGTTTGCTGGCCTAAGGATCTGATCTGGGTACCCACAGTCTGGGCTGTATACCATATTGATAGCATGCAGCCAATAGGGTTGATCTCCGTCCCCTCTCTCATTCAAATTTCCTGAATGGGGTATGCTATTTCGGAAACAAGGTGAGTTTACCCCGCAATCCTAAGATTTTAGCTTCCCAGCATCAAGGCTCGTAAATGAGACTTTCATTGGGCCCTAGTCGCAAAATGACCTTACTGCTGATGGAGACGATGGACCGATTCTCGGCGATTTGTAGTATGGCCATCATAGATGGCCGGGATCTAGTAACGTCCTGTGGTCGGTCCACGCACGCCCAGTCTGAGGTATATCTATAAAATTGATGGCTTTTTTCTAACTGTATATGGTCTGACATCTTCTAGGAGATATTATCTGTCTTAGAATTTCTTAGGGGCTAGACCTAGTACTTGACAGTTACGCTGGAAGATATCATGATATTTTCTACTACTACCTAGGTATTCTTTAACAGAACTAAGACCGGAATACTCCTGTCTATTTTGATATTAGGTAGTTAGGAGAGGAAGCCAACTTGAAAAAGATGTCTAGAGAGCTAGGATTCCAACCTGCCTAATTTATCTCTCATAAGCATCTTGTTCTTATAGCTAGATTTGTGTTTTGATGCCGGCTAGGGTTTCTCAATACTTCAAATCAATCACTCGTGGAGGGACCACGAGTCGCTGTGGGCTTTGAAACTGATTCTTACTCGTTTTCGGTCCGGATTTTGATGGTGATTCAAAATAGTTATTACTAGTATGGTTTTAATGAACTTCTTTCGCTACTTTTCTCTGTATCCTTCCCACACGACCGCTATTGTCTGGCCTTATTTTCCTACCTTCACTCGCTGTCCTCCTTCCCATTGACTCCCTCGGTAGTTTCTTCGGCCGGAATTTTCACTTTCCCCTAGAACCATCTCCGTTGAAGCCCGGAGTGATGCTACGAATGGCAAAATCTCGGACGGACCAGCCGACATGCAAATGACTGATAATCGGGAATGTATCCCGATAGTAACTACTTCGCCCAATATGTGTAGCCATTAGGCTGTTTTTTGAATTGATCGGTTTGTTGTTATATAGAATAATTTACAGCTCTGCGGGACAATGATGGAATATGAGGATGAAGTCACTTGTTGATAGAGTGCAAGGGAGTTTCTTTCCAAAGCACTTCGGCCGATTGCGGAGTTGGCAACGTGCGGGGGAGGGATGGATGCCAGTCTGCCGCAGCGTGTAAGAGAGTGACGGGTTTCGAAGATCGGCCCTGCGCCCCGAAAACTTGAAAGATATAACAACTTGATAGAAATCATTTCTCTTTCGGCGAATATTCATCTTTACTCCCATCAAGTATCCCATTCTAGACGCTCTACACTACTCACCAGAATGAGCCAATTCACTGTTCTTGGTGACAGTGCCATTAGGCAGCTTCTACTCAGCCTATCGAGAGAAGAAACCAAAAGTTTCCAACGAGATATTGAGGATTGTCTGATCTCGATTTGTCCTGGGAACGAGAGTGACTATCAACCAAGCCCAGGCATCATCAATCGCCCTGATGGCCAGAAGATTCTTTTCAGACCCTTTACATCTCCAGATAATGTGGGAACCAAAATCATTGTACACCCTGCTCCTGCCTCCGAAACTTCAGAATCAACAGCGGCGAGTAGAACTCAGCAAGCCTTGCATGGAATTGTCGTCCTTGTTGACAAATGCGGGTTTCCCACCGGCGTTCTCAACGCCGAAGAAATAACTGGCTACCGCACCACCATGAGCGCAATGATTCCATATTCCTGGAGATGCCATACTGAGCATATTATCATTTTCGGAGCCGGAAAGCAAGCATTGTGGCACACCCGGCTTGCGCTGGCTCTTCGTGGAGATGAAATCAAATCTATAACGATTGTCAACCGATCGCTTGAGAGAGCACAGGAACTGGTTCAAACTGTGAACGAAGAGAACAGCTCCTACTGGAAATCATCTTGCCAGCTGAAGATTTTAGTCCACACCCAGGAAGTCTTTGGGTTGCAATTGCAAAAGCTCCTTGCAGAGGCCGATGCAATCTTTTGCACAGTGCCATCCAGAGAGCCTATCTTCGCTATGGCCGCTTTGAACCTGGAGGGGAGGAGCAGACCCCCCTTCATCTCTGCTGTTGGCTCATGGCAGCCGGATATGATCGAAGTTGACCCGGCAATTCTTCATCATGTTACGGAGACCAGAGGATTTAACAAAAATGATAGCAAAATATCATCAGGAGCCGTGATAGTCGATGATGATGAGCATGCCTTGATTCATGCAGGGGAAATCGTACAGAGTGGCCTTGAAAAAGATCAGATTTTGGGTATTGGCCAGGTTCTAAGTTGGAAACGAGACGAGCCTATGCGTCCGGAAGATATGGATGATCTCAACTGGTGGCTCGCAGAGGGATTGATTGTATACAAGAGCATCGGTGTCAGTGTCACCGATCTTGTTGCTGCAAATGCAATTTTGGCATTGGCCGCGAAGAAGAATCTGGGTACTTCAATCTCGGACTTTTAGGTAGTTATGGTTAGCAGGTTGAAGCAATTCTCGGTAGAAGAAGCGCCTAGTATTGGTACCAACAGTTTACAAGTTGAATTTACGGAGGTAGTATTACCTAGGTATGGCTACAAGCTTCCAAGGTTGGTAGAAAACACTGTCCAAAAGGTTGATAGAAAATAATATATACATTTAATCATAAGTGCGTACCATGCTGCTACCATTCCAACCGATCATCACAGATAAGGCTAACGTCAAATCTCTCCTGGCCCTTCCATACTTTGGAGCCGGAATTGCAGGAAGCAACAATGCTGCGCAGGTCACTAATCATCCCGCCAGGCCCGCTGGCAAAGACGGTAGTAGGCCCCCTGACAGTGTCCTGCAAGAAGCCCGGGATCATTTTATGAAGAGAAGGATGTCTTTGGCTGCTATTTGCTGAACCACCGAGCTTCTCAACTGAGCCACTTGGACAGTCGCAAACATCAGAATCAGATGCAGCACAGACGGGTTTAACCTGCACGGCTTTCTCGTCCTCATCTGCGGCAAAAGTTTTCGATGGCTCATCGACCTCAATAGAGTGGGGTCTGCTATTAGAATCTCTGGTAGCAAATATCTTAACCTTGAGATTCAGGTCTTTCTTGGCTTTACGTAGCAGGGAAAGCTCTTCACTGATCCATTTAGTATTGGACGTGTGCCGGATTGCCCAGATGAGCTCGATTTTTCGGTCGGGGGATGGTGCTTGCTGTTGTGCAAGCTCGAGTAGTACTCCGAGGACATATGTAATTCCGGTACCACCAGCGACGCAAATGATGTTTGTGTCAGGCGTCAAGTTCTCCATTATTGCTTCTCCGTAGGCACCCGTTAGGATGACTGGGGTCGTTGGAATGCCGGTTGCAGCGAGATCGGCGATTTTCTTTGTTTCGCCCTTCTTGGCCCGGAAGATGTACGAATGCTTCACTTTTCCTTGCAAAAGAGTTGGGGCATTGAGTGGGGTGAAGGGGTGTGATTGCCAGATGCTTCCTTTCTGAAAGCACAGGTAGTAATGTTGGCCAACAGCCCAAATATCTTGTGGATTTTCCATATCGAGTCGGATAACATCGCCATGCTCCTCATCTGGAAATCGAGTGATAGCTGCTTCTGCTGGCTTAAAACTCAACACTCGCGATTGATCAAATCGATCTGGATGGTAATGCAGAATTGCCGTCCGGACAAATCGAGCACCACGATCCAGAAACCAGAAGATCAGTGAGGGCCACAGATAACACTTTAATTGTTTCCAATGACCCCAGCAGGCACCGATATAGACCATGGCGAGAACATAGTGGAGCTTTCGAAAAGTCTCATACCCTGTGGCCCTGATGCCCCAGGGAGTGCTGAGGGCGAAAAGCATAAGCAAGAGAATCATGGCAACGATACCCCAAACAATGTATGTCTGAGTAACCCATTCAATTCCAACTGATGGCTGTGGTTGATAAAGCCTGAGTTCGACAATGCACCAGCCAATTGTGTGAAGAGAACTTTGCACAAAGATAATGTACCCTAGCCATCGGTGCAAAAAATTGAAACTCTGGTAGGGGATGCCGGTAATGAGAGAGAGAAAAGACTCTCTGCTACTCAACATGATTGAAAGTGGGGTGAGGGCATACGCAAACACGCCGATGCGATCCGCCCAGGGACCGATACTTGAGCGAGTGTTATAAGTGTTCGCCATGCCCGATACGGGCGTGACCCAAGTGTTGTATGACATGCCGACAAAGCTGAAAACAAGTAGATAGGAAGCCAGTGAGGCGAGGACGAGGACCTGGAGGCGGGTAGTACGGCCAAAGATTATACGGCACGCATCTGGCAGTAAAAATTGATTTGTGAGTGCCGCAAATGAGCGACGAATTTTGTATAGACCGGATAATTGAGGAGCAACGAGAATCGGACTCATCATTGGGCGATCATAATGTCTCCAGCATGCCCAGATGAGTAGAATAGCACCAATGATAGACCAGAAGATGCCGCTATAGAGCATCCCCCGATCATGGGCTGAATAGACAACATCGAGGTATGCGCAGGAACCCGGATCACTTGTACAAGGGACTGCCCGGTCGGCATACCCCCAGTGAGGCTCTAATACTGTCGCGGCACTTAGGTTTTGAATGTGACGAGCACCCAACAGGGGTGATGATAGGGCGGCCATATTGGCCCTCGTCCAATGAGATCGAGTCGATGACCTCTGACGACAAGACTCAAACGGGCCTTAGACTATCAGCACTTGTGAATCGATTTCAACATTAATGAAAAGGCGTGTGTGAGAGGGTGGGATATTAGTATGTGATTTTGTTTTGCGCTCAATGGCCGTGGTGGGTTGGTCTTTGTAATATAATAACCCCCATGGCGCGATTCTCGGTACTTCCACCCTGCTACTAGGTGGCCAGATCCCTGAAACGTCCGGAGACGAGAACATTTGAGCAGAATAAATCGCGTTTGTTTCCACTCGGGGAAATCTCCGCTGTGGGGGGTAGAGCTTCCGGCCATGTCATATAAGCCACGACGGCCTCCGCGATGGCTCCATGAGTCTACAACAACATTATACACTTTCCTACTCCTACGATTCCCCTCTGAACAGGCCAATCCACCATGCAAGGCATGGATATGAGCTCGAGCAGCTCGAGCAATGAGTGCAAAATTTCCGTGAGTGCCAAGGTTCGGCTGTCTTGGCTGACTCCACTAACTCACGCAATTGCAGATGCTCTTCAATTGGTACACCACCGATGCTTGCTTTCTTTCTGAGGGATGGCAGATTCAGAATAATGGCATGTTTGCTGCGACTTGTATTGGTGTGATCCTTCTTGTGGTGCTTGTGGAAGCCTTCCGACGGATTGGCAAGGAGTACGATAATTTCTTGACGCGCCAGTTCGAGCGCCAAGCAGTGGCGCAAAAGGCCGCATTCGTCGCGAATTGCGTCGATAAATCCAGCATGACCGGGCGCGCGATTCGCTTTCGCGTGACCCCCCTTGCAGCAATTGGCGCGGGCGCTGATTCATGCTTTGACATTTGGAGGCGCCTACATCGTGATGCTGCTTGCCATGTATTTCAACGTGTACGTGATCATTTGCATCTTCATCGGAGCGGGGCTTGGCAAATTCTTGTGTGATTGGATGGTGGTGCAGATCGACCTCAATTCGATCCGAGAAGAGGCCAAAGGTGTTGAGGAAACTACGGTATGCTGTGGCTGATGGCTACAGGCTTATGGGTTAGATCAAATATAGCATATATCTATACACGAGCGTTACGAATCTCATATTCTCTTCATGATACCCCGGTTTCTGATTCGGAACTTGGCAGCTAGCGACCATGTTCATGTATATTGAGTTCAAGCTTGCGTAGACAATTCTTCTATCATCACCCGTGCATTGGTTATGTTGTACTTACTAGTTACATGTGTCATCAACCTTGGGAGGACCGAGTGACAATTCTACTAGTATATTCTCATCAAAAGGGCTACACGATGATAGCTTGAATATATGCCCAGGTGAATAGTACTGGTACTAGTAGATAAATAATGACTCGAGCCATATAATATGCGAACTAACCTTCTTCCAAGGTTAAATACACGTTCACTTCCTTTTCGTCAACATTTTGAGAATATATACAGCACTTTGATCAGCATGGACTACGAGACATCATGATCCGAATCAGCGGAGGCTCGTGCCAAAATATTGATGCTACATGATCAGTGGCTATCTATCTTAATACACTGGAAATAAAAATGCGGATGCGAACAGATGTTTCAGTTCTCAGTTTCAGAAATAGAGCTAATATATATTTATTGTTTCATCTAACACACACTTGGGATTTGCCCTTTGCTTTAGTGGGTCCAAATTAGAAGACCCAATATACGCCCCCATATACGAGTCAACATTGCAGACACCGACCTTGAATGTTGCCGGGTTTTTAGATCCAATGACAAAGCCCGAGAAATAATTCCGTCTATGGAAGTGCAGAGAAATATTGAATTGCATCAGTTCGATGGAATACACTACGTCCCACGAAGCCAAGACATGAGACCTTGCAAGAATTTCTTTGGAAATCGCTCACTGATATAAATGATGTTGAGTAATAATTGGAGGATTCCTGATAGAATTAGTCGTTTGTACTAGTACGATGCAAATCAACAATGAATTCATTTCGGGGTTTTATATCAAAATTCATTTCAATTCCCTGTAGGGGGTGCGGTCCAACGAACCATCGCGAGTAAAAGAACGCCTAGACCTAAAATATCTGAAATCAAGTTCAATCTTGATCAGTTTACCTCACATAAGCTCAAAAAAAACTTTATCCTCATTCGCCGCCCCTGATTATATGCAGTTGTCATGATGTCATGACATCCTCGAAACTTTCGATGCAATATGATAGTGACGGATGCTGACAACGAGCAGACCCACTAGTAGAAAGCAAGTAAGAAACTGCAATAACCCAAAACTCCAACAATGCCCGTCGTGCAAAATATGAATGAGAATGCCGGGCCAGATATGACTGACCTGGACACCTCCTCGGACTGGCCCGCATTCCCCGGCGATGATACCCTACACGAAGCCTATGAAATCGAACTCGAGACACAGAATGGCGACACTGTACGCTTCGGTGAACTTGTAGCGGGGAAAGGCGATTCAATCACCACGATCGTGATATTTGGTGAGAACCTACGAATAATCCTTCCCATTCCGAGACCGTCTATAGAACTACACTAACGGAATGCTCCCGCCTAGTTCGCCACTTCTTTTGCACCTATGATCAAGACTACGTTCGAAACCTCGCAGGTAAAATGCACCAGAACCTCCTAGATACCGTTCCACCCGACGCTCGACCAGCACAAGTCATCATCATCGGATGCGGCGACCATTCCATGATCATACCGTATATGGAAGAAACGACCGACGAATTCCCTATCTACTCTGACCCATCGGGGAAGATATATGATAAGCTACAAATGAACCGGACGACTGCATTTACCGACCCACCGCCATATACAGAGCACTCCCTAAGAAGTTCGTTCACAAAGTGTATGAAGCAAATTTGGAAGCGTGGTTTGACGGGGTTGAAGGGTGGAAGCTGGGATCAGCAGGGTGGGGAGTGGATTTTTGTTGATGGGAAGTTGAGATATGCGCATCGGATGGAGGCGGCAAACGATCATCTTACAGCAGATCGGTTGATGGATATCTTGAAAACGGATTATGATCGCAAAGGAGGCGAAGTGCCGGTGGTGGTCCCGGAGGATGCGGAGGACGCACCGCAGGTCCAGGCTAGTGCCCAAGTTGAATTTAAGGAGGAGGATGGCATCAAACTGCAAGAAGCACAAAATGAGGTTGAAAATACTTGATGTTGTGTCTGTTGCAAGATTGTCCGGGAGAGCCTGTTTCTTTTCTCATTTCTTCATTCGAGGTGTTCAGTAAAGTCGGAGTTATCGAGCGTATATCTCATCAGAGTCGCCCGGGCGTACTATTCGGATTGATCAGAATTCCAGCTGTTACTATTATGTATAAAAATTTATTGTTCCACCCACACGTTTCCCTATAATAGTGTACAAAGTAATACAAAGCCATAACCAAGGGCATCCAAATCACTCCACATCCATCAGTACATCGCTCATAATGTGTAGTACGTAAGAAAATTTCTTAACGCTCCATTTACCCGAGTCTTTGAGCAGACCAGCGTAATCAAGAAGGATCCGACGAGCAGATTGATATCCACCTTGGAAAGGAACACCCCGAAGATAAATTGTCGCACCGTTGCGGATGAAGTTGACAGCAGGATCCTCAGTCGGTGAAAATGACTGACTTCCCCGTGGCTCCATGAAACTCGTGAAACCCTCTGTGCCAACTTGCTGCCAATCAATGTCGTCCATTAATTCAATGGACCCTATGGTAGATGAAACATTCGCAGAATTGGGAACCATAAAGGTGTACAGGCCCAGGACCAGTGCTGCGGAGAAGAGGGATAGGATAGAGTGAAATGTAGGATGATCGGAAGCTTTCCGATTGGTCATGGACTTGTAGATATGAGCGGCGTGAAGGCACGCTCGTCTGGCGGCAGGTGTCTGGGACCATTCAGCTATATCGTCGAGCGCCTTTCGAGCTGGGGCCGGCCCGGCTCGACCAGCGGCGAATTCAAAGATTTGAATGTCGGCAGTAAGCATCATGCACATATGATGCCACATAACAAGCGCATTGGGGTTCATTTTCTCCATGTATTCGCGATAGTTACTGATAATTTGGAACTGAAGAGATGGAAGGCACCTAGCTCGGCCGTCCATTGCATATGTATGACAGGGAGCAAAGGGGTAACTTGCGCGGTTGGAAAGTAGGCGGTGATAGGCCTCTGTTTGGCGCAGTTGAACCATGGCTAAGACTGCTTGGATCGATAATTCGTCGGTGGGGCCTTCGATTGCTGGAATGTTGATGTTTTCTGACGGCGCCAGCACCGTTGGCATCAGTATCCTTTTCCCGCTGCGGATCAGTTGAGTCCATCGTATCGATGAGTGTGCGCGAAAGAGGGCTTCATTGCAGGGCATGATGATTTGGATTGAGTCTGGAACGATTATCGGACTTGTTGAAAGGAGCGAAGAATACCAGGAGTCCAAAAGAAGGAGACCGATGATGACCCTGTTTGGAGATATTAGATGCTGCCCATGCGGTAAAAGAATAGTGTCTCACCTCTTGGTAGACTCAACCTTGCTCCATGCCTTCCATCGCATCTCAATATCGGGTACGGCTTCGAAAAGACTCATATCTAGGATTTGACCTTCCGTGGCCGCAAAAAGCCCATGTCTTTGGGTAATCTAGCATCGGGTTAGTTGCCCATCCGTAAAGTACGAAATCGGGAAGCCGATTACTTACCGACATCAAGTTAACATAAAGCATTTGGCACTGTTCTAAGTGTGTCTTGTCCTGTGAATGCGTTAGTATAAAGATTTCCTGACACGAGGAAAGATATTCATACCCCTGTTAATACAGCAAGATTCAGGAAGAGAAATGCCGTTGCGAAAATAGACATAGTACTAGAAGGCGATTCAACACCCATGGTACATTTTGCTAGATCAGCAGTGACCCTCTCAAGCATATTCTAGCAGTATCGTTAATAGCTGCGAGGGAACCATTTTAAAAATTATTCTTACCGAAAAATCCCTCGAGACAAAACTGGCGGTTCCTTTAGTACCAAGTAACATCATTCCGATGAGGCACATGACATAAAGTAATAGTGGGCGGGTCGTCTTAGCGGAGAATGTAGGAAGGTGTACAAACGGCACGAGAGGGTGGAAAGTGCGGAAGTAGAGATCAAGTGCCATGTCTAGAATTTCAGCAGGAGGAAATTGAGGAAAGAAATTCGAAGCCGAGCCCGTCGTTGCTGGAGAAGCTGCACCGTTGTGTGGATGTTGCATGTGGGGGAAAGAGAACATCGTTTGGCCAATGACAGCCTGAAGCCTGCGTCTACACTCTTCATCAATACCGCACCTGGATCCTTGAACAAGTGGAACATTGTTCTGAGATAGCGCCGAGTTGATAGAAAATACGTTGTCCACGTCGGTGTACACGACATCGCGCCAGAGACTGTTCATAATGCGGCCTGTATGATTTGGTGGAGCAAGCCAGCACCGTTGAACCTTGGCAAAGCGTTCGTTGGGAATATTATCACCGCTAGGTTTGGCGCCGTCGACAGACTGGCGATGTTGTTGGTCCGGGGTGAGCACCACGTTGTCGCCTATTAACGGGAGATGGCCGTTTGTGAAATCGAGGGATCCATGATTCGATCCGGCATCAGTACGCGGCTCAAGCCACATCTGCAACATATCACTGGATCCCGCATCAAACGCTAAGCTGTTATTTCGCTGCGACTGGGCTGTAGGTGTAGCCTCGTTCCAGCCGAAATAAGGCTGCTGTTCATCGATCATCATTGTGTTCATCTCTGGGTCTGTTCGGCTGTGGTGGGCTGAGATGTCCGCCAGGAAATCTAATGATGATGGCGGAATCCCGGTTACTGAGAGATTTACGTCTCGAGGCGTCATGATAGGAGGGAATTGATGCGCTTCAGTCCCGATATTGGGCAACATCTGGGTGCCGTTTTCCGGGCCCGGTACCATCGGAGACATCCCTAAGATTGCAGACTGGCGTCGGTCATGGGCCTCTGTCGTCGGAGCATCTTTTGTTTTGGCTGCAGCATTTGGCGCAGTACCTTGGTTATGACCTTTGGCATGTCGACTTAGAACGTCGCTGTATGCGCGTTAGATTGTTACCGACGGCAGTTCATAGCATATGTGGGGCGCAAATCAAATTGGTAAAATTCAAGCACCTCCGGTGGATGCTTACCTTCGCGAAAACCTTTTATGACAGACATTACACTCGTAGGGGCGTTCCTTGGTGTCTAATGTAGAGTATGTTAGAGCTTCGCTTCTCGCGCGTCCAATTTATGCGTGAGGGCCGGGACCGGGACTGACGTGACCGCTCATGACGTTTGAAATGCTCCGTCTTCTTGAAGCGACGGTCGCAAATGGTGCACTTTCGGAGGACCATGATGGAGCTCGCAAATCAGCGACGGCATCACGAAGGAGACATGATTCTCTGAGAGAGTGCGCGAGTGTGTCGGGGCCGCCCTTCGGGGAAAGAGGGGAGATGGTGTTAGTCAGCCCGGGGTTAAGCCGATCGTGACGACTCTCCTTTGACCTTCATTTTAACTGGTCTTTCAGCTCAAGGCAAATTCTACCGAGGATATACCGCAGGGCCCAGTCCCACTGCCTTCTACGAATGGTAGTCCATGACTCGTGTCTGGGATTGTCGCATTGGCCCCTGATGACAAGCCACCGGATTCCCCGTGGGGAGAAGGCAACAACTCCGAACCCTACATGGGGGGGTGGCCCACTGTTGGTTTTGGAGCAGATGAGAATGGTTGGCATCATGATTGCATCTCATGGAATTTATAGGTATACGGTGGAAATAAGCAAAACACAACAACTGTGAAATGATTGAATTGGGAGAAGGTCATCATCTTCCACCAGCCACCCCATTGGCCGGCAGTTGGCCATCCCTGCAAGTACCGAGACGCTTGAACATATCATCACATCGATAGTTAACTCATAGTTAATTACTACTTCCAAGTTAGAACTATCGATCTACTGGCGAGCCATCTCCGCCAGCTGACTGTCATCATAAAAGGTCTCCAGTCGCCGCTTGCGAGCCTCCTTGTCCTCCTTGGCATGCTGCAGGATCTTTTGAATATTCGGATATGCCGAGAATTTGTCCTACAAAAAGAGTCAATACCAAGCCCTCAAAAAATACACTGGCGACAAATTTGAACTTACTGGCAAAGCATCCCACACCTTGGGGTCGGTACCCTGATCCTTGAATGTACCGCAGCCAGTACGGGCATATTCAGTGAACAAGAACGACCGACTGCTCTCGATCATGATAGTCATTTGGTCTAACTTTGGTCAGCCTGTGTCCGTATCCAATAATTTGCAATAGGAATTCCCACGGGTAGGGTTATGGCTATACTCACTTTCAAGAATCTTCCGAGGCTCATTCACCTGGTTCCGCATCTCATACACGTAGTCTTCACTAAAGTTTCCGTGAGGAGTATGACTGATCTCCACACTACCTCCACCAGGCAGGAAGTCATCCGAACGACCCAATCCATTTCCGTATAGCGAGGCCAGGAACTCAGTAGCCGAGTTGCGGTGGAAGTAGGGTAGTCGGAATGTGTTGGAGGCTACATCCCAGCGCGGCCCGAACCACAGGAAATCCGCCAGCGGAGTATCCGGATCGCGAGAGGCGGCAGTCAACACGCAATTCACAGAAGGATCGGTATGGTCGATGGAAGTGGCATTTTGAGAAGAAAACTTGGTCAGATCGTACTGTGAAAGAAAGTCATGTCAGTGCCAGCCAACTAACTAGTAGATACGGGTCTTGTGGACTCACTTTATACGGAACGACATTCCCATGCCAAGCAACCAAATCAAACGGACTATGATCTTGCTCAATAGCATGATACAGTCCATTTGCCTTGTTCACAATTGCCCAGTTCTCATGTAGATTATCGTCAATGTACGCGACCGGGTGCAAGAAATCGCGCGGGTTGGCAAGCCCATGTCCTCCAATAGGACCCAGGTCAGGCAATTCCCACCGTGAACCCCAAATCTCTGTGATATACCCTCGAGCAACGCTATGGCCCGGGCCCAGCCGAATTGAGAATCGGATGCCTCGCGGAACCACGCAGATCTCACCGGGTTGTAGGAAAAGTTTTCCAAGCTCGGTCTGAATGTCCAGGTTACCCAGTTGAGCGACAATCAAGAAGTCGCCATCAGTGTTACAGAATGCACGGTGGTCCATGTCGGCATTAATCATGTAAACATAGAGTGCAATGCCCTCGCGGAGGTTGGGATCACCGCTTCCTCCCAAGGTGTGTAGTCCGTCAACGAAATCAATCTTTTCGTCGTCACCGGGTAATGGAAAGGGGGCCCATTCGCCTTGCTCAGCTAGTGTGGCAACCTTCGGGTTCAAAGTGAGGAAGCAATTTTCGATATCGGACTTGTGCGGGATGTTGGCCTTATAGCCATCTATAGAGAAGATCAGTTACGATATGAACTTCGGCCCACCGGACTCGAATGTACTCACTATGAGCTGCTGCGGGTCGCACCCGATACATGTAAGTACTAAAGTTGGCGTGTCGAGGAGCCGCGAATGCAGAGTATGTAATTCCTTCAGTGTATAGACCAAAACGCGGTTCCTGGGGATTGTTCTGTCCTGCCGGCAGCGTCCCGGGAATCACTTCAGATTGGTGGCGATTGCCGAAGCCAGCCTGATATTCGTATGGGTCATTGTCTCTCGTCGGCTTGCGAGTCATGGTGTCTGTGTAGTGAAAGACCTTTTGGAGGTCCTTGACTGGGTGTCTCTCCTTGACGGGTGGAGAAGGCATTTTTGCAATATCGAGCTGAGATCGATGTTGAGATCAAAGATTTAAGATAGAGATACCCAAGTTTGAAAATATAATGAAGGTAGTGTATTGAAGACGCAAGGTTTCCTTATGCTGAAATATTTTCCAAGGGGTCTTTCACCTTGTGGGTATGTAATACCTGAGAAAGAGACCCATATGGAGCTCTTTCATCATCTTGTGCTGTGTAGATGCTCCCACATACAGGACCCACATTGACCTCATGCCCGTATGAAAGCCTCGGGTTTAGCTATGGACCCATCGGGAACTATTTTTTCTTGAATCTTAATTTTTTTGGTTACTTCTTGCGGGGCCATATGGATGTGGAGCAGACAAGCACCACCTCCAAAGCCGAAGGTGGTAATGAGAGCAATGTGGATGTGAGTTGAGATGAACATGGTCGAGGAGAAGCTGAAATAACTTAGATATGGGAACTATGCATTTTTATGTACAGCTATAAACAGACTTCTCGCGGCTATCTACTTGAGAACTGACTCTAATCAAGAGCTAAAACATCATCTACCATCCTCGACGATGCGCCCAGATAATTAACTGGGTCACAAAGCTCACTGAGTCGCTGCTGGCTCATCTTCGAAGTAACCTCTTCCTTCTCGAGAAGACAGTCCAACAACGACCCTCCCTTCTCAATGCTCTCCCGACAGGCCTCGTAGACAATATCATGAGCCCGTTGACGACCCACATGCGGCGCCATACCCATCATCACGGCCTCCGCCACAATCAACCCCTTCGTAGAGTGGAGGTTCTCGAGCATCTGCTTGCTATTGACAGATAGACCCGAAAGTGCGAAATGAGTCTGCGACAAAGCCCCAACAGCAATAACAAAACTCTCTGGCACAGCAACCCACTCGAGATGCCAAGGTCCCGAAGCGCGTTCAAAATCAGCCACCATTCCATCAAGAACTAGACCCGCGTTCGATCGCAGGATCTTTAGATGCAGCCAGAATGACTTCGCTCGAGATGGGGTTACGCTTCTGCGGCATGGTAGATGACGCACCACGGTGTGGCACGAAAGGCTCGGATACCTCACCCAACTCATTGGACGACATGATAATGATATCCAAAGCCAACTTCCCCATAGATCCTCCCATCAACGCGAGAAAGTTGGTAATTTCAGCCACACCGTCTCGGGCAACATGCCATGTGATCGAAGGGTTAGATAAACCAAGTTCCTTTGCCAGCGCCTTTCGCACCCGAAGTCCATCATCGCCAGAACCCAGCGACGCGAGCGAACCTGCTGCACCGCCAAATTGCACGAGTAAAGTCCGATCACGAAGCTGCGTCAGTCTGTCCAGATGTCGCTGGAACCCAGACAGCCATACGGCGCACTTATAACCGAATGTCACCGGCAATGCGTGCTGCAAGTGCGTGCGACCAGCCATGGGGGTATCCTTATATTTCTCCGAAAGCAGACGTAGCGTCTTGATGACATCTTTGAGCAATCTCTCGATGATGTCGAGTCCCTCTTTCATTTGGAGCACGCTTGCCAGATCCATGATATCCTGTGTCGTCGCGCCCCAGTGTACATACTTGCCAGCCTCGTCGCCACAGATAGCCGAAAGCTGGCGGACCAGAGGTAGAATGGGGTAGCCTACGATTTCAGTTTCGTGGCGTAGGCGATCGAAATCGAGGCTGGATTCTTGTACACGCTGCGTGACCATCGCTCCGATCTTGGATGGAATGACATCGCATTGGGATTGCGCTCGTGCTAGGGCAGCTTCGGCGTCAACACATCGTCGGATATAAGCTTCGTCGTCGAAGACCTGGGAACACAACGAGTAAGAGAGTATTCTAACGCCTTGCGCTAAAAAGTGGAAAGTAGAAAGATACCTTGCGAATTTCATCTGTACCAAACAGAGTTCGGAAAATGCTTGAATCAATTGCGCTGACCGATCCGATTAATCGGCGACCACTGGTGAAGGTTACCGAGACTGCCGGGCGAGCATTCACCCGCGACAGACGCAAGAACATTGACATGGCGATGGAGTTGGTATTCCTTGCAACTGGCACTTAAAGAAGAGGTATGAACATGGACAGCTGCAATTATGTATACGAGTAGCTTTGCAAGTGGACCTGTCTGAATGGATAGTACAATCCAGATGGGTGCTATGCGGTCTGCGCTCCACAGTATCCCTCGAAGCCAGGCCCCACATACAATCTGGTGGCTGCATGTGGGGCCGGTGGATGAGGCTATTCCGAGATCAACTCCAGGGTTAAGAACCTTGGAAGAGGAAAAGGGACTGCCATTGGGAAATTGAGCTTCAAGCTGAAGTGATTAAATGCTACCTAGTAGATATTTTACTTAGAGAATAGTAGTAGAAAAAGCAGGACTTGAAGAATGCCTTAAATCTCAACTTGAAATCATACTACTGGTACTATGAGAACTTCATGAAACCAAGATACTAATAGTTAAATATATTCATGACTTGTGCTATTTACAATCCGAAGAACATCAAGTTTGATCTAGTCCGATCTAGCAGTGTATCTATTCTCGAATGAAAAGGGACGCGACACCCATACCGGTGCTGTCAAAAGTTAGCAGTTGAACTCATCGAAATTGGTGGATAGAGCTAACCTTGCACACATGCTCACAATGCCCATCTCCTTATCTGATCGTTGCAACTCGGCCAGAAGAGTGGCGACCTGTCGGGCACCGGTTGCTGCAACCGGATGTCCTCAGGCAATAGCACCGCCGTTGGGATTGACCTTGTCCATATCGATACCTAGCTCGCGAAGACAGTGGATGGACTGGCTTGCAAATGCCTCATTCATCTCAACGATGTCCACATCCTTATTTTCAATACCAAGGTACTTGTATAAGTTTTGAATGGCGAAGATAGGCCCGATGCCCATCTCATCTGGTGCACAGCCTGCCACTTGCGTGCCGGCGAATCGAGCAATGGGCTTTAAACCTTGAGCGTCGGCCCACGATCGACGGGCGAGAATGGTACTGGAAGCACCATCGGAGATTTGCGACCTGTGATTGCCTGAAGTGAGCATACATCTCAAAAAAACGTATCTGGAATGCAAGAGTTCCCTTCCGCTCCCCAACTTACGAGTTTCCAGCCGTACTATATCCATTCTCCAGCACCGGCTGAAGAGTCGCCAATTTTTCCGCCGTAACTGTATGCCTTACACCCTCATCACGATCGACCACCGAAATAGTTTCCTCGTCAATTCCCTCACTGACAGACCGCACCGTAACGGGCACCAGTTCCGCCTTGAACCGCCCGGACTTTTGAGCCTCACTCGCTCGTCGCTGACTCTCCGCAGCAAACTCATCCTGCTCCCTCCGACTAATTCCATATCGCGATGCAACATTCTCCGAAGTCTGCAACATAGGCAGCAAGCAGTCCCGCGCATCTTTCACCTCAGATTCCTTCAGGGTAGGAGATACATCGACGGGAATTCCCCGAGTCGCATAATTCCGCGACATACTTTCCACCCCACCGCCAAGTCCAACATCAATTTGACCCGCCAGAATCGAATGCGAGATATGCGTGATAGCCTGCAGACTACTCGAGCACTGGCGATTCACCGTGTGGAAAGTCGTCGAATTAGGGAAACCCGCTGCATTGAGCGCCATGCGACCGGTCTTCGCGAAGCCCAGCTCTGCGAGGACATTGCCAATCATCACATCGTTTACCTGGCCGGCTTGGATATTCGCTCGTGTCACAGCGGCTTGCATGACCTGTGATGGGATGGATTGTTAGAAGGTAATTCAATTTCAACAACAGAGCCAGCCATGCGAATGAGAATGGGCATACCTGCATGAGAATCTCCTCTGGGTAGGAGTCCTTGAATCCGCCCTTGAACGCCCGTGCGATGGGACTCCGTACGGCGGAGAGCACGACGACATCATTGGGGCTTTTTTTCAGCACCTCGCCTGCTGCTCTTCTCAGCATTTTGGAGGGAGTGAATATGTTTAATTATTGAAGATAGGAGAAGAGAGAGAGAAGGGAGGGGAGGGGAGTGTAAAGAGGGAAAGAAACGGATCATAAATTTGTGCCGAATGGGGCCGTTAGTCGCATGGGGAGCTTCCCAGTGCTGCTTCCCCAGACGGTGGGGCGCTTGCACCCCTTGGCGATCGTCTTCTTCTGCATTCTTCTCTTCCTTGTTTGACTTGTTTCCCCTCTTCATGCATGCACCTCGTATTCCCCCCGATTTTCGGCATTTTACATTTTACATTTTACATGGGCTACCGCGGTTGTGCAATTTGTTCGGAACCAGGTTGTTTCATCTATCTAGGGGTAGAAGGGTTATTTCTTCTTTTTTTCTTGGTAGCTCTTCGCCACACCCGGTGGCCAATTGCGGGTGATCGATGGGCAATCGGTGGAGAAGCAAGCATGCGAATGTGGGGTGATTGGGGGGCATACCAAACGCGTGAACCGGCGAAAATGCACTCATTCTCACCAAGGATATCAAGCTAGGGCTTCATCTTACAACCTCATCGTCCCAGGAGTCGGATTCACCCCATTTCCCTCAGAGGACTCGTCCTGCGCACTCATTTCCCACCCCCGTCCACGATATCGTGCGGGCCAGATTCCCGATTTACCTGGAGCCATGATTCCATTGGGATCCAGACAATCCTTGATCTTCTCGTTGAATTTGAGCAACGCGCCATCATTCCAGTTATACGTTCCCGCAATCTGATCCATAAAGGCAAGATGGGTACGGTACTCGCCGTATCCCCTCTTCGCAGCATCATCAACCATCCCGCGCAGACATGCCCGCGCATTATCTCGCATGACCGGATCGTCGCGGTTGAACACAATCTCTACAATCAAATGCATCTCGCGAAGACCCACGACAAACGTAGGAAAGAGGTCTAGGTTATACTCTTCACATCGCTTCTGCGCAATGTCCCATAGTGCCGTCGCGTCGTTCCCGCGGACTGGGGATACAGGGCTGAAAGCAACGTGCCCTCCATTGGGGTGCCAATTTACCCAGCGTAGCTCTTCGATGTCTGGTACGCCAGAGGCAATCCGGTCACGAACCCAGAAGTAGTTATCTGCGGGCAGAGTGGAAGGGTCGATTCGTCTGGCGCCGGGAATTTTCATGAATTCCTTGTGGATGATGTCGAGTTTGTACTGTCGGATTTCTTTGGGTCCGTAGGCCATGCCGTAGTATAACCAGGTACAGTCACCGTGGGCCAGTTTCTGCGCAGCTTCGTGGATGAATGAGTCTGGGATACGCCCTTTTCCATTGTAATAGAAGCTTCGGGGTTTGCCCTCTAGTCCAACTTGCATACTAATGTGGCGGAGCTGTGCAACATTCTCCAGAATCATGGCGATTCTAAGAGGTCGGATTATGTCAATCTGATCAGGCTGGTCAGTTTATCATGGAGGGCATGGATGTCGTTAGGATAGGATTCATGTTACCAATTGGCTGAGATCCTCTTCTCTTTGGAATGCGTAAAGCTGTATAATCCGTGAGCCATTGTGCAAAGCCAGAACTCGAGAAAATCTCACATAGCTCTCATGATCACCAGGATTGGGCATCAATCCAAACCCCATCTTCGTCACGACTCCCATATTCGATTGCGAGAACAATCCGCTATAAACACGATAATTAGCGAATCTCATGCACTCCCAGCGATACCAATTATAGCAACACGTACTCAGCAGTAGGACCAAACCCATAAGGAAAAAGCTGCCAGCTATTATTCCCCGGCAAAGCACCCATGCCAGTCCTAATAACCTCACCAGTTGGAAGCACAATTTCCATCCCACAATGCATCATCCAGTGATCTCCATAGGGCGTATACCCGACCCCGCGATCAAGTGCATTTCCCAACACCGACCCACCTCCAATATCGGGAACGTCTACCCAAAGGTGCTGGAAGCCCCGCGCTTGAATCTCTTCGTATAGAGCGAAGTAGGTTACGCCCGGTTCGACGAGACAGGTACAGTCGTCCGGGTTGATGTCGAGGATTCGATTCATTCGCCGACCGAGATCGAGTACGACTGCCCCGCGGACGCGTGGGGCTGCGCCTCCGTAGCCATCTGGTATTTGTTAGAGAGATATAATCTTTCGATCGGTTTTGCATGAAAACTTGAAGGGCATCAGGCGTACAGTTTCGACCGATTGAGATCGGGGAAATGGGGATGCGATAGCTGTTCGCCCATTGTACGACTGTTTGGACTTCCTTGGTGCTGCTGGGGTAAACTACCACGGATGCGACGAAGTCACTTTCTTCAGAGATATGCATTCCATCGTGGGTATTTGGGTCTGCGAAGGGTTAATGTCTTTGCGGTTGTGAGTGTGGGATATCCTTTCTACTGACTTTCCATATACCTAGCAGGCACTTAGTTAGTAAATATTCGTGAGAGAAAACGTATTCATAGATAGATCATACCATCCATCGTCTAGTTTCGTCACAAATTCTACATGTTCTTCGCCTAGTCGATCGCGGAGTTCTGCGATAGCGGTACGAAAGGTGGCTTGATTGATGCCCTGTGGGAGGGCCACTTTCGTCCTACTGTTTTCGGATTTGGTGGATATATCGAAGATCGCAGATTTTGATTCTTGGGCCTTGTCGAATAGCCTAGCTGGGATTCCGTTGTGCTTTTCGGAAAGGAGCGGAGTTGGGGATACGCTTTTCGAACTCATCGTAAAGGTGAGTGGGTGTGCTAAGGTATAGTCGAGTGCCTGGGTAGCGATCTCAAGGTAAGGGGCTCTTCAAAATTTACTATTTTGTTTGATATTTTATGGTATGATAGTTCATTCAAGAGGGATATTGTCTGGTTTTGTCCTCTTCCCGTGCTACCATAAGCGGCGTTTCCCCTCATTTTCATGCACACTGGTGCTGGGCTCTCATGGTGATTGGACATTGACTGCTAGACGAGCTGCCGATGTCAGTGGGAATGAGAAAAATAGCTTTCATTGGCAGTGATCCCCCTGAAACACATGTTAGCCTACGGATTTACCCCAGATAGCGTGGTGACAGCAGGCCATAGCTATATGCACGGTGGAGCGGAGACGTGAGGGGACGGGCCCCGCTCGACGCGACGATCTAAAGTGACATATTTAGACATGGAATATGTATTTCCTTCTTCAAACTCCTGGCGTTGCATTCAACAGCATTGGGAACTACACAATGTGTCTACCGGAGAGTCAGACGGAATCAGTCCCGAAGACTGTTGTCGAGTCCCGAATGGTTGCCGAAGGGAATTCCGTGTAAGATACGTGTTATGTACAGCCCGGATGACGGCATGTTTACCATACGGGCGGGACCCCATCGCACTTGCCTCGCGTTCGCAAATCACCCGCACCTTCCTCAGTTTCCCCCGTCCAGTTGACGTTGCCAGTTGCCAGTCATCAGCTAAGTCGGCCAGAACTCCCATTTACCATATACTCTCTCCCGCCATCTTTCCTCCTCCACATTCACCCCTCGTTCCCCATCTCCCCATCTCCCCCATTGGCATGGCCACGCCATCTGACTAATAATCGGGTATCTTTGTGGGGTCGGCTTCCGATGGCGGCAAAAGCCTTTGGGGCTCGCCGCTCTCCCTCTCCGATCTTGTGGGGGAGTTTGGCGGTGGCTGCCGGGTAAGCGTTTTTTCGGCTTGTCTGGCTCAGTCCCTAGCCGAAAACCCGCTGGGGGGATGGGGTAGCTACTTTCGCGATAATTCAATTTATTCTTCTCTTCTCTTCTTCCTCTTCTTTCTGCTGGTTCAGAAAGCACTACCCCGGAATTTTTTATCTGAAGGTAGTACTCACCATGGCGCGGCCTGTTCCTGCGATCAAGGTGTTCAGCCCCATCTGGCGGCGGAACTTCTCTGCCTCAACTTCTCGGAGCGCTATCAACAAGCTATGTGCCTCCGCAGAGGAGGCTGTTAAGAACATGAAGGGTTCTTCGACCCTGCTGGTCGGTGGTTTCGGTTTCTCAGGTGTCCCTAACACCCTGATCAACGCTGTCCACGCTCGTCCAGAGGTCAAGGACCTGACTGTTGTTTCCAACAACGCTGGCATGCCCGGCGCCGGTCTCGGTAGGTGCAATATGCCATTGGAGGTCAAAATCCGCAACCATTGAAACATTGGCTAACCCGCAATCCCCTGACAGGTCAATTGCTTGAGTCCAAGCAGATCACCAAGATGATCGCCTCTTTCATTGGCGAGAACAAGGTGTTCGAGAAGATGTATCTCACCGGTGACCTGACCCTGGAGCTTACTCCCCAGGGTACCATCGCTGAGAAGTGTGCTGCCGGTGCAGCTGGTGTCCCGGCTTTCTATACCCCCGCGGCTTACGGTACTATCATTCAAACTGGTGAACTCCCTATTCGGTACAACAAGGATGGCTCTGTGGCAGAAATGTCCAAGGTCAAGGAAACTCGCACATTTAACGGCAAGGAATATCTTATGGAAGAATCGATCTTTGGTGACTACGCTCTGGTTCGCGCACACAAGGCCGACAAGCTCGGTAACTGCCAGTTCCGCAAGGCTATGAACAACTTCAACGAGGCCATGGCCAAGAACGCCAAGTACACCATTGTTGAGGCTGATGAGATCGTCGAGGTCGGCGAGATTTCCCCGGAAAGCGTTCACATCCAGGGTGTCTACGTCGATGCTGTCATCAAGAGCACCGCGCCCACCCAGATTGAGAAGCTGACCTTCGCCAAGAGCCCTGAGGACCTGCTTGCTGCTGGCTCCGGTGAGGCTACCGCCCGCCGTGAGCGTATCGTCAAGCGTGCCGCTAAGGAGTTCAAGGATGGCATGTACGTCAACCTCGGTATTGGTATTCCTCTGATCGCTCCCTCCTACCTGCCCGAGGGTGTCGAGGTCGTCCTGCAGGCTGAGAACGGTATCCTGGGTCTGGGTGGCTACCCCAACCCTGGTGAGGAGGACCCCGACCTGATCAACCCCGGCAAGGAGACTGTTACCCTTGGCCGTGGTGCTTCCCTGTTCGGTTCCCACGAGAGTTTCGGTATGATCCGCGCTGGTAAGATTGATCTTACTATGCTTGGTGCTCTGCAGGTCAGCCAGTACGGCGGTATGTTTCCACTCTCTCGATCAAAATAGATGCGCATTGTACTAATTGTTTTCTAGATCTGGCCAACTTCATGCTTCCCGGTAAGGTCAAGGGTGTTGGTGGTGCCATGGATCTGGTCGCCAACCCCGAGAAGACCAAGGTTGTCGTGACCATGGTATGTTTACAACTTAATCCCGACTGATAGATGAAAATCCAACTAACCGCTCTACTCTAAAGGAACACACCGACAAGAAGGGCAACCCCAAGATTCTTGCCGACTGCACATTCCCCCTGACCGGCCCCCGCTGTGTCTCGACTATTATCACCGATCTGGCCGTCTTCGAGGTCAGCCCCTCCGAGGGTCTGACTCTGATTGAGCACGCCGAGGGTGTCACCGTCGAGGAGATCCGCAGCAAGACCGCTGCTCCCTTCAACGTCTCCGCCGACCTGAAGCCCATGCAGCTGTAAATTGATAGAAATATACCAATTGTAAATTCGGGATTCTGGATACGTTTTTGTTTTGCATGTCGATAAGGTTCTAGACAGAAAATTAGAGCATTTTTTCCTTTTGAAGAATTTCTCCTTTATCCTACGGATAGTACTAGTAGAAACAACAAGATATTATAGGAAACGTTTGCTATTCAACGTGAACTGCCCCAGGATTGTCTGCAGAATACTCGTACAATCTGGACAATCCACCCCACGAGCACCCTGGGGCAACGCATGTGGGGTCAACATTCGAACCCACCTGCAGTTTGTGCAGTGGGGCTCCCCACGAGCACCTGCAATTAAAATAGATAAACTTGGAGATAGAAATATTACAGACTAGACAAGCTTGCTCTCAGGTAACTGCGAGCCCTGGCATAATGAATTACCTTTCATTATCACGCCCATTCTTGGTGGCGAGGAGAATATCCGGCCCTCACCTGATCGGGTCATGTCTTTCCCGGGGATTGGCCACGGCGCAGAAGAGTAAGAAGTTGCCATTGGCTGGGGTCAAAGTTTTGGATATGAGTCGGGTACTGGCTGGAGTAAGTTCGAATCTCAGCTGCAGGGATCCTATCCATGTCATGCCATATTGCCGTTGACTAGTTCGCTGACACTGTTGATAGCCGTACTGCACGCAGATCCTGGGCGATCTCGGGTATGCATTATCCGTATCAGCTTGACGGTGTATGATCGCGAAGAATAACCGGTACTGATTGATGTATCCAGTGCAGAAATAATCAAAGTTGAGCATCCTGTTCGAGGCGACGATACTCGTGCCTGGGGCCCACCTTACGCCCCATATAATGATGGCAGAAAAGGCAACGGCGAAAGCGCATACTACCTCTCGGTAAGATATGAAAAAAAGTAAAAGCAAAATGCGATAGAAGCTCTGAAATAACAAAAATGAATAGGTAAACCGAAACAAGAAGTCCCTCGGTCTTTCCTTCGCTCATCCTGAAGGTGTTGAAATCTTGCACAAACTTGCCCGCGACTGCGACGTCCTCGTCGAGAATTACCTCCCCGGTTCTTTGAAAAAGTACAACCTAGACTACGAAACTCTGTCCAAGATCAACCCACGCCTTATTTACACCAGTATCACCGGATACGGACAGACAGGACCCTACAGCAACCGGCCCGGCTTCGACGTGATGGTCGAAGCTGAATTTGGACTGATGCATTTGACCGGGACACGGGATGGACCGCCTGTTAAGGTTGGCGTTGCGGTAACGGATTTGACGACCGGATTATATGCCTGTAATTCAATCATGGCTGCATTGTTGGCTCGCGCGAATACAGGCGAGGGCCAGCATTTGGATGTGTGTTTGAGTGATTGCCAGGTCGCGACTTTGGCGAATATGGGGGAGTCGGTGCTTATTAGTGGAAAGAAAGATTCCGGTCGGTGGGGGACTGCTCATCGTGAGATTCAATTTTCTTTTTCCTGTTTGTGGCCGGTGGTTCTGGTTGACTGACCAACCTCATCTTTAGCTTCTGTCGTTCCGTATCAAGGGTTCAAAACTGCCGATGGAGATATCTTTGTTGGAGGAGCGAATGATCGTCTGTTTGGGATTCTTTGTGACAAGATTGGGAAATCTGAATGGAAGAATGACCCCCGCTTTGTGACGAATAATGAGCGTGTGCAAAATCGGGCTCAGTTGGAGCCATTGATCGAGGCTGAATTGACAAGACGCACCACTCGTGAATGGCAGGATTTGTTCGAGGGAAGTGGTCTGCCCTATGCCGCTGTGAATGATGTCCAAGGGACTATGAATCACGAACATGGTATGAACAATCTTGATTTTAGTAATTGCGAGTTCATGATATGCTGACTTTTGTAGTACGTGCAAGGGGTATGGTTCAGACCATCGATCACCCGGCTTGTGGACCCATCAAGGTCATCAGTCCCCCCTGTGAAATACTCGAATGCCGAGGCGAATATTCGTTTACCCCCTCCTTTGTTGGGGGAGCATACCGACGAGGTATTGAATGACACTCTTGGAATGGACTCTGTCAAGATTGAAGAGTTGAGGAGCAAAGGAGTCATAGCATAAGCGAAATCCATTATACTGCAAAATAGTAAATAGAACCACATAGAATTCATGTTCGTCAAGAATCCAAACTTGAATGGCCATATAATATTCAAAGAAATCATCAAGAACATTGAACCAATATGTCACTTCTGCTCCATGATAGTAGAAAGATGTTTCCAAACCGAGCATCGGTGAAACTGCGCATCAGGAACGGCCTCCATCTCTGTCGAGTTCAATTGAAACTTTAACCTCTGGTCACCACTATATCCCCAGGGTTTCCATTCTGGAGCAACAGGGTTGCGATGTGTGTTAGGATCCAGGGTCAGAATAAAACTGATCCAATAATCCATAACGATTGGAACCATGGGCGCATTGTAGGTGAAATAAGAGCAGCCAGCGCAGGATCCTGCATTTCCTGGTCCAAAGATAGCTGGTTTCTCAGATACATGTGATACCCCGAGACCAGCTGCTTGTTTCGAACTATCTAGAACGTTATATCTATAGCTCCAAGATTTCATCGGGGAGTTATGGGCCGCCATAGATGATGCAATTTCAAGGCCCGGGCATGTAAAAGTCGCTTCGCCATAAGCCAGTTCAGCTGGTGTGAAGTAAGGCGCATGCTTAGGCAAAACGGGCTCCTGAAGAGGGTAAGTCCGGTTGATCAAGTCAAGGTTGGCTGCGGTCAGCTTGGGGTAATTGGCCTGAATAAAGGCTAGGAACTCGACCGAAGTGGTGACATTCGGGGTAAACCCTGTTCCCTCATCATTGTCATTGCCGACGATAACTGGAACTTTTCTCACTTTGCCTTGGTCAAAAAGGATGTAAAGAAGATCTGGCGAGAAGGAGTCATCGACTACTGGCAGGAAGTACCATAGAGGAGTTTGTGTTGTACCAGGAAATCGGGATTTCACATCTGCAGACTGTAGCGTGGCGGACTCCCGAGAACGGAGACATTCCATGACGTCTTCATCGTCAGTATCAGTACAATTGGCATCTTGTACAAATTTGTCAAATTGAAATTCGGACTCCGCGACGGTGCGGTGGGTAGGTAGGAAGGGAGACTCCGAAATTGCACCGACAAATGATCGTTCGCGACCTCCGTAGGCCGTCAAGTGATACGCAATTGAGCCTCCACCGGCCGAATCGCCGTGAATGACTATGTGGTCTGGATCTCCACCAAACTAATTTGACCACTTAGCATATTTGACTAAAAACACTGTTAGTTTATGAATATTGCCTTACCAGATGGATGTATTTCCGAGCCCACTCCAAAGCCTTGGATTGATCGAGAAGGCCAACATTCAGATCTCCGTTCCGCCTGATCTTTTCACTCGCTAAAAATCCGAAAGCACCGACGCGATAGTTGATTTGTACAAAGATTATACTGTGATTTGACCGCGTAATGACTTCGGTACCATTGAAATTTTGATCTGAGTTCGTAGCATATCCGCCACCCTGGATGAAGAACCAGACAGGCAGTTTGCTCTTCGGGGTTGCATTGCTAGGAGCAAAAACGTCGACATATAAACAGTCCTCATTTATCGAATCGCTGAGAATCCCAGCTGTTCCGATACATGTAGGTGCAAACTAGGACTCTGATGAGCGGTTGCACAATATAGTATTTCATCCAAATAGTATGCGTACCTCCTTGGCATCTTGCACGCCATCTTGGCGTAGTGGGTCTTGGGGTGCTCTAAACCTGAGATCCCCCACGGGAGGAGCCGCATATCGTATGCCGAGAAATTGATTTACGCAAGCGCTCAGTGCGGTTCCTTCATATTCAGAATATCCCAAGTTTACTGTTGGGTTTCCCGAAAACCCTTTGGCTTCTAATGGATGTCCCCCGAGCAAATCTGGAAGTCCCAGAAGGGAAAGCGATACGAGTCTCAGAAATAGCATGGCAGTTCGATTCGAAGCTAATTAAATCTAAATCTGGGACATTATTACAAGTTATACTAACAAAAGTCCACGATTCGGGTTCGGTATAATAATCGGGCGAGACATCTCAGTTCGAGAGGGGTAGTATGTGCGAACGCGGGGGTGGCACTATATTGATCTGCAGGGCTATACCAGTTTGATCGACGGAGCAAAGGGTCCGCTTCTCAATTATTTGAAGTTATATGCAGTGATGACGAGCCAAGCCCTTTTAAGAAGTTTCCATTCGACCGATGTAGTATTTGGCATCAGAGCAACCGGGTTGTTTGCTATATTGCCTACACCGCTACTGAACAAGCTCAGCTGAGAATCGAGATCTAGATTGCCGTCTTGTTCAGCCACACCGGAAGAACTATTGAAAATCCTCGGAACTGAATCCAGCATTTGGTTTTGCTATCCAAAGCTATTCTCCTCTCTGTGATAAACTTCTGATGGGGCCCAAATTCCCGAGAAACGTTCGTAACCAGGATGGCGCACCAGAATGGATCGTAATACTGCCGACTCAAAGAATCATTGAAAATATGAAGCAACGAGCTACTAAGTAGTAGTCACTAGCTTCTAGTATGTGCTTTTTCTTCGATCCTCGACAGAAAAGGTTGCCCATAGTCTCGAAAGAGCGGCTTAACGGGATAGGGGTAACTTTTAGGGTTTTGGTAGAGTCGTCCGTCGAATTTCATTATTATGGGGCTATTTGAAGACCCCTACCAGTAGCCTACTGGGGTACACAAACGACCATGGCCTAGAGTATCCCTTCCCATAATTTATCGATTTAAAATTAATTTCAATTTCGATACGTTTTTGATTTTTCTTTCTTTACCTTGATCACTAATACAAGAAAATTGCCGAGGTCCCGGGCACCCCGAGGGAGTATTTAACTTGAAGTCACTTGAAGCTCTTTGAGACCGAGTGTCTCCTCTTCCGACTTTTTGAGGTAGCCATCTTTGAGGAAGTTACTCAGCAAAGGTGTATAGTCAAAAATCCAATCCCTGAGCCAAGCAAAAGGCCGGGGAACGCAATGGAACATTCTGCCAAGGAAACGGGCGAATTCGACATTATGATTGACATAGTCGACTCTTTGTTTTTCATATAGCTCAAATCCAGCGCTGATTGCTGACTGGTTTCGTAGGTCAACGCCATCAAGGAATTTAGCAATGAAGTAGCCATCTTCAATTGCCATACCCATACCATATGCAGCATATGGTGAGACTGGGTGTACAGCGTCACCAAGGCATACAACCCGACCACTAGACCACTTCTTCATCGACGGTCTGTTGAAAATCTCCCAGCGATAAACTTGAGTGTCAAAGTCCGTAGCATCCAAAAAGCGGGGCATTGGCTGAGACCAGTCTTTGAGAATCTCAGTAAGATGGGCTTTAGGGTCTTCAGGGACAGGCTTTCCATCCCATGAAGGCTCAACCACCCACCATTCAAACCCTAGCTTTCCATCATGAAGCATTGGGAAGAAGCTGGCTTGGTGTTTCCAATCATGCGAAACGGAACCGTAGTTGGGTGGAATGTCAGGAATCTGGTCGCACCATGCAAGCCAGAGTCGGATTCCAGTGTGAAACAATTGAGGCTCGCCAAATGCTTGTCGAGAAACAGCTGAGCGAATCCCGTCGGCCCCAATCAAGATATCGGCTGTTTCTCGATGGCCGTTCTTGAATAAAAGCTCAACACTATCCTCATGCTCAATATATGAGGTAAACTCATGGTCGGCATAGATAACATCGTTGGGAACGAGGTCCAGCATTTTCTTGAACATAGAAGAGCGAAGAACGCCATAGTGCCAGCCCTTGATACCCATAGATTTCTCGATATCAGGGTTGAAAGGTAATTTGACGCGTTCTAAGCCTGACTTATTCTTAAAATAAGTCACTGTATAAGAGCCAAAATCTTTTGGGTCTATCCCATAGGATCGTAGAATAGCCAAAACAGGTGTTGATAGCAAGACTGCGCCTCCAATAGCTTTGCATTCAGGTTGTCGCTCGAAGATACGGACATCGTAGCCTCGGTTGATGAAAGCTAAACCGGCCGAAATTGACCCCGGTCCTCCTCCAACGATAGCGACCCGTTTTCCGGGGCGCCATTTCGGCTCGGGCATTTCGAGAGTTTCGATAGGGATGGAAGAAGCTTCTCAACGAGATGATTGACGAAGTTTGCGGGACATGTATTGGTCTGAGCTCGAAATGAAAGAAATTAAAGCGATTTGCAAACCGGAGCTGTGCTGAGGCCCGGAATATCAGAACAATAATCATCGCAATTTAAAGGATGAACAGGCAACAAATTGCTCAGATCCATTCTCTTCCTCACTCCGGACCCTTTCGTATACTGCCCACATGCCGATGAAACTGAGAATCAAGTGGACCGGGTCATCCAATCAAGTGAAATGCATTTAGCTCTTTGGCCTCGAAGTACGGAGATATCGTTCCGGTCATGGGGTTGCTCCACGCTGTGTTGGAAAGCGGTGTGGGAGCCGTTCTCCTGAAGTGAAGGAGGCGGTGTGGACTACTCAAGATCTGCCAGACTTTTATTTTCCCGATAAACACTTGGTTCCCCTGGCATCAACCACATATATCTTCACACCTTCAAACTTCCAAAAAACATCATATGATACGTCGGTTGCCAGAAAACTGGGGGGCTTATCCACGCACAGTTCCCTACTTGGTAGTAGCAAGCTATATACACCCCACGACTGCGCGCCTTCGCATCATACTAGTATGATAATTATGAGTTCAAGATTTCATTGTTGTGAATCTCTTGGAACCAATTTGAAAATTAGAAACAGCTGACCCTGCATGCCACTAATTTCCACTGACTGGAGTCGAGCCGTTATGTCCGAGCCCGGGAGTCCGAATTCCCGCTTACTGCATTACACCACTGCCAACTCGGACTCGGATGTGGGCGCAGATGGTTCCGAAAGCCGTTATACAGGTACTATCGAGGTACGAGTACCTAGTACACAAGATACTACTACCTCTCTTGCATCCTCCCACTCCGAGTCCCATCCACATACTACCACATCCTACCAACCGGTACTATTTTGAACTTCAAGTTCTCTCCCGTCAGAACAAAATCAAAATGGGCGACAAACCACCAAAAAACATTCGATCCCTCAACCGGTACATCACCACTCACAACGAGACGGGCCAGGCCATCTTCTCCACCGCGCTGTCTGAAGATATGCCGATCAAGTCTCTAGACAACGGCGCTGACTTCAGCCTCGCCTATACCTCTGACCACTTTCCTGCACAGGTGGACGGCGACGTCGATTTGGCCGAATACGCTAACTACCTCACCAACCCACCGGGCATCACCATCTCCACGGGAAATGTCTGCCGCATTGTGGATGTCCAACCAGGAATTACATGTGCCATGCACCGCACCGTGTCACTGGATTATGGCGTGGTGCTGGAGGGAGAGGTTGAGCTTATCCTGGATTCGGGAGAGACACGGCTACTCAAGCGTGGGGATGTTGCCGTCCAGCGCGGTACAAACCATGCTTGGCGCAATGCGACGCCGGATGTGATAGATCCAGTGACAAACGAGAGAACTCCGCAGTGGGCGCGGATGCTATATGTTTTGATGCCTTCGCAGCCGATGACGATTGGGGGAAAATCTTTGGGAGAGGTCGTGGATGGTATCGGTGCGCGTCCTAGTACTTAGCACTGCATACTGAATAGATTTCGACAGTTATCCATGGATCATTATGAAGTTGGGGGATTCGAAAGGATCATCACGGAAAGGTGAATCATATCTTCAAGTTATGATTCTTCTTTCACAACGGTGAAAATGAATGACATAGACATACGGAACGTGATACATCTGATTGCAATAATTGTTCAAAAATAAAAATCACTAGATAGCCGCTAACCCCTAGGGTGTATATTTTCTTCATTCCTCGGCAGAAGAGGCCGACCATCATCCCGAAATAGTGATTGTGAGGCTATCAGAGTGTCTCCCTCGTCGTCAAAAATATCACCATCGTCGCTGTCATTTTCTTTATCCTCATCCAAAAGCTCTTCCAGACCAAGGTCAAAATCCTCCGCTTTTACCTGTGTATAGTTTCTGTATCTTTGCCATAGCCAGATACCCCCAATAGAGAACACCACGAGGGCGACGGTGGCTATTCCAGTGAGTAACAACACTGAGGTCATGCTCAATGGCCGAGCTATATGCTGTGTATTCACCTTTCCAGAGGGAAAAGTGAAATTGGCATCATAGGTATCAAAAACCATCGGGAGGGTTGCGGTTGTCAAATCCACAATATCGGTTGACCGAAGTACATCTCCAGCTTCGTCGACCGCTTCGGCCCATAAATATTGCCATGGGGTCTCCCCGACAATCAACTTTGTTTCAAAACCAGTCCTCGAACCTTCTGTAATGACTTTGTCGTAGTTCCCCCGTATGGGATTATGGGCTCCCCTGACAACCCAATACGCAACTTCTGTTGCACCGTTCCAGCTAAGGTAGACAACAAGCTCGCCATTCTGGTCTTTCCGCATGGCAATGGCAGGGTCCCACCAGGGAGTTGCGGACCAGTTCATCTTGTAGGCACGGTAGTTATCGAGTGCATCGGGAATCTCATCACTATGCCATGGTGAGAATTGGACATCCATCACCGTCTCGCCCTGGGAGTTATGCTCTGTAAATGATGGGCATCGACCCCAGCCTATGAAAACATTACCGAGGCCATCCATGGAAGGGGATAGTGGCTGCACACTTCCTTGACTCTGAGCCTGAAGCTGTGCCGGGTGACGGAATTCACGCAGTAATTTAACCGTGGGAGGCGAGATAGTATCATTAATGGCAACATGTAGGCCACGCGAGCATAAAGCTTTGCAGTCGCCGTGGTTCGTGGCAGTGCCGTGATTGTCGAACAGTGTAATCTGAGTTTCATTGGTCCCAGGGACAAAACGAGCGTGGTGTTGCCAGCTCATTGTCAACACAGGCTGGGTTGTATCAGATCCATTCACCACGGGTATTTCATCGAAGTCATTTCTCTTCCCACCGATCTGCCAAATGATCTCTCCCGTACTCCCGCTAATAAGCAGGATAGAGAATGTATGGCGAATAGATATGAGATAGTTTCCGGCTTGGGTCTGGATTTCATGAGATGTTAGAATTTATCTCACGATCACACATCATTTATTTTTTCTTACCTTTTCAATACTGTTGATGTGATATGCATCCCAGCCGCGGCCCATTGACTCGTACGAGTCCATAGGGTTTATATGATCAAGGGCTCGCCAGTGGAAGAGAACCTCGTTCGTCTCAAGGTCAATTTCCTGGAAGACTGCATCTAGTATTTCGATACCGAATGGTGGTAGCTCCCACTGAGGGAATATTGATGGAGACACTTGAATTGAGTTCACGCCAGTGACCAAAGCTGATCCGTTCCCAGTGAATGCGAACTCATGCAAGTCACTGTGTACCTGGATATTCTGTGCCGATACTTTGTAGACTAGGCGATATGTATCGTCATAGGCAAGTCCATAACCATCGCCAATCCCATTACCCTTTTCTCCTTCCCAAAAGGTTAAGTATTTCTTTCCCTTGTTTTCTTGAACCCGAGTGCCGAAGACATTTTGGAAGGTTCGGTTCATGTATACCGCGCTCAAGTCGCGTGCATCAATAATTAAAGGGGACGCGAGCGGCGAGGTGTCGTTGCCGTCATGTCGTAGGAAAATGTGCGAGCCCGCATCAGAGATAGCATCGCTATCCCAGATGGTGGCTTGCATGATCGGCGCATATTCATCGCTGGAATGGAATTCCAGATGAGGACGGTGACCGAGCACGCCATCGTTGTATTCATCGTAGTTGGTTGAGACAAAGTCCCCGCATGCTCCTGCGGCGAGTACGGAAATGGTACTAGCCCAAATAAACGGTAGCACCATCCTTAAATTCCTGACAGCTACAGCGTAGCCAAGCGCGATCGATTGGCAGTTTTACCATCTGTAAAAAATCATACTGATGGCTCAAAGTCAGGTCGGCGCCAAATCGACTGCATTTGTGGAGGAGTTCGCTTGGGGGAATTTCGAGTTCCTCGTCATTTGGGCTGAGTTTACGCTTAAGCATGTCGCAGCTTGCGTATGCTTCGTCAGGGGTGACTCCGTCAACCCCCAGGTCCACATCGGGATAAGTATTGAAATTATACGGAATTGTAGGATGGAAAATACATCAGAGATACGTACTTCATATAAAATAAGGGGTTGCTTGTCCATAATACATTTCATATGTACTAGTAATTGAAAAGAAGTCTAGATCTCGGAGAATTCCCATTCTTTCAGCACGATGAATTTAGAAATAGAATACTACTCATAGTCAGCAAAACGAACCTTCCCTCATGGCGAAGCCAGATCCACGTGTATCATGAGTTTGTTTTAAAACGCGGTCGTCATCAACGCCAGACTCTGCCGCTTGTGGAGCTTAGCGGGATCCATAGAGATTCGTACTCGTTCCAATGGTTGTCTTTCGTCCTACAAAGACCCGCTCAACTCTAAGCCAATTCCACCCTAGTCTCTTGGCGTCTGTCGTCAGCCACACACTGCCGTGGACGGCCAACAATCAGAATCTTTGCTGAGGCCTTCATTTACCGAGCGGAATAGTATCCATTCTCCATTGGTCTCATTCCGGTAGTCAAAGTTCCTGACCCAGTTAATTTTATTTCCGCTCAACGGGGCGGAGCGGTGATGATCGGGAGACGGACTCGTATTCGTACGGGGCTGTGTCTTACTCCTGAAAATTTATGCATAATACTGTAGTCGCTTGGCATTTTCCTACTTTTAGAGTGGAAAAAAACACATGCTAAATACGTAGCATTTCCTTCGCTATAATCAGATGGATGAGGACAAGTAGTATGGAAAATCTAGAAACAAACATGATTGCGTTAGCGCATATTTCAGCGCCTTGACATATGACAAAGAAAACAACAAAGCTAACAATAGGAGAAACAATATTAAAAATCTCGATTGTTTCCAGCCTCAAAAAATTCAAAGAATGGACTTGCAATCGTGGTCCCAGATCAAAAAATCGCTCTGCGGGGAAAAGGAAGCCCCCGTCTAGGCTCTTCAACTCTCCATCGCAAGACGTATTCCTCCGCTTTCTTATAGATGTCACTATTGTTCCTATAGCGCCCCTTGACCTCAATCGAGTAAATCAACGAGGAGGTCGCAGATCTTCCGATCGCAGTGGGTGTGATGGATGCGCGATGGTCCTGAATGGCGCTCAGCATAATATTAAGAAGCTCCAGATTGGATCTCCGCAAGTCTGATGACTGGAAACGAACATTCACATAGCGTACATTTTGAGGTGGTGGGTTACCACCCGAGAAAGCGATCCCTAAAAGCGGCATTATGATTTAAAGTGAGGGCCACCGGTATTTATCGAACATATATCCTTAAGGTTTCCTTTTTTGAAAGTCGAACGTAGAACTAGATAATATGATGCAGCTAGAGATATCTTCAGATTTATAAAGATCCATTTTCCTTCATTCATTTAGTTCATCTAGACTTGAATCACCCGAGTACTCTGGCGGAGTAAGTCGACGAGTGCAATTAATGAATGTTCTTTAAGAGGCTGATAGTCAACTTTTCAAGCTCTCCGAAACAAATCAATTGAAAGGCACTACTATGCCAGGAATCTCCGTTCTATCTTGTTAAATGCTCGAGGTTGGTAAATGATCTACTGGGGCTTGATAAATGTAGCTAAGCAGGAAACAATGAAATAATTTTCTAATGATCTTTGATTTGGTCATATGGTTAGTTTTTCTTTGAATGTCTGAAACTTTGTTTTTCAATACTTATTTTTAGATATCATATGTATGTGGTTTTTATTCTCAGATCTAGCACAGCCTTGAAATGCGTTGAGAGGGGGTTAGTGAAAGGAGGAAATTAGCAAACGGAGAAATTTGGAATGAAAGGGAAAACTTAACTGGGATCGAAACCGGTCTCTAAATGCCGAGGGAGACGCTACGGCACTTTAGGACAGCCCGAAGAAACGCTGTCGCTGATAAGGCAGTCTCCCCTCGGCGATCCAAGAGTCGACAAGGCGGGCTGTCTCCTCGATGGCTAATGTTTCAACGAATCCTCCTTTACGTAAAATCTGCTCGCTTGAAAGCTTAACTAGCATTGAGAAGCACCACCGTTGCTTTGTTTGATACTGACCAACCCAGACACGGCTTTGGGTGATGTAATCCTTCATGCATTGCATAATCTTCGAATCTGACCAATCAGCCATTTCGGGGCTCAACATAAATGACACCCACCAAATACTCATTCCAGCCGATTTAACTCGTCCGTTAAGTATGTCGTAGTCCATGATGCAAGGTGTTGAATAAATATTGATGTTAGTTGCTACTTGATACCAGGGGGTTCGAGGCACTTAAATACCTTCTTTAAGAGAAGATACTGATGTCCATTTGTAGCCTTTTCATAGCATTAACAATGCCTCCTGCAAACAATTAACCTTTGTCTAAATTCATACAATGAAACATTGACTTTGTGTTTCAAGAAGTAAAGAAGAAAGAACATTTACAAGCCACTTTGACGATCCACTATTCAGCTATGCAATTTTTCAATCTCCGCGCAAACCGCATCGACCACCCCCTGGGTGTTCGCGGTTCCACCAAGATCGGGCGTTAATGTACCAGCAGCACAGACTGCCTCGACGCATTGCATAAGCTTCGCCGCGGCATCCTTCTCCCCGATCCAAATGAGCATCTCTGAAGCTGACCAAAATGTTGCCACTGGGTTTGCGATGCCCTTTCCAGTTATGTCAAAAGCACTACCATGAACAGGCTCAAAGATAGATGGATTTTTGCGAGTTGGGTCCAAGTTACTCGAGGGGGCAACTCCGATAGACCCAGCAAGTCCGGCAGCGAGATCAGAGAGAATGTCCATATGTAGGTTGGTTCCGACGATAGTATCGATTGATTGGGGTTTAGCCACCATTCTGACGGTCATCGCATCGACAAGCATTTTCTCCCAGGCGACGTCGGGAAAGTCCTTCGATACCTCAGAGGCAACTTGATCCCAGAGAACCATGCCATTTCGCATAGAGTTACTCTTGGTGACAACGATCAAGTGCTTCTTAGGACGAGACTGTGCCGTCTCAAAAGCGAACCGCATGATGCGCTTAATGGCAACCCGAGTGAAAATTGCGACTTCAGTTGCGACTTCCCATTCTTGTCCAACATGTGAGCGTCCACCTTGACCAGAATATTCACCCTCTGAGTTCTCGCGAACAAGCACCCAGTCAATACCCTCCGTGGCAGTGTTCAGTGGGCATTTGGTTCCTGGGAATGTCCGCACGGGGCGGACGTTGGCATAAAGCTGTAGCGGCCCACGAATGGCTAGCAGAAGACCCCATAGTGAGATGTGGTCAGGGACATCTATTTCTTTGTTAGACGAGATATCCTAAATCAAGGAAATATTTTGCCTACCCGGTGCGCCAACGGCCCCGAAAAGGCCGGCATCGAATTTGCGTAGCGTTTCTAAGCAATCGTCCGAAACATATTGACCAGTCTCTTTATAGTATTTAGTTCCCCAGGGGATATGGGTGAAGTCAACTTGAAATTTCCCCAATTTTTTGGCGAGTTTCTCGACGACTTGAATGGTGGCGCTGACCACCTCGGGACCAATGCCGTCACCGGGGATGGAGGCGATGCGGTAGGTTGGTGACATATTGGAGATCAATCAAGAAGAAAATTAGATAGAAGGGCAGATTTCTTGAAGAACTGATTTAAAATAAAATAAAAAAGCTCCAAAGTAAACCGTGTATTTAAATTAATGACTTTCAAGGAAGCCGACAGGGTTCAGGCTGATAGTTCCGCCTGTCGGCAGAACTTTCAGGCGATTTCATCTTCCCCTCTTCACCTTTTTGGCTTGCCTTGCATCTCTCAACTCTCCAACTCGGTGGTTTCTTTTCACATCTATTCAAAATGGCGAAGTCAAAGGTGTCGAAACCAGCAAGGATCACGGTAGCATGCAATGCTTGTCGCTCTAGAAAGCAAAAGGTACGTGGTCCTCCAGAGGAGCTAAGTGACTTTGCCACTAATACGAACCGTCATTCCAGTGCAGCGGGGATAAGTACGATATGAGGGTCCAGTCTCTAGAAATAAACCGATGAACTAACTTATCTGAAAAGGCCTGTATGTGGGCAATGCTTGGAAAATAACCGGCCTTGCGATTGGCCAGAGCAGCTGCGCCGGTATGTACATAGCTGGGAGGTCGAATACATACCCACATGGCTCAACTACTGATCCATATTCTTTTTCATACAGTGGACCCGCCAAGGGACATGTTGAAGCATTGGAGCATAGACTGCAGGTCACTGAAGGTGTACTTTTTCGCCTGCTTTCCCAAGTTTCCGACGCGCAGCTATCCAACGCTTTCCCAAGGGATGGTGCGATCAGCCGGGATGGCACTGGTACTTATATGCCCCTTGCCAGACTTGATCGGAGAGGAATTGACGAGTGGGCTCAATTCCCTCTCGACAATGCACAAAACATTCGAGAATGGCAGCATCTTTTGACCGGCCAGAGCGCGGTGGATTCCGGCACTCTGCCGAATAAGGCTGATCAATCTCCCGTCCACCGTCACCAGGATAGTGGAGTGAAAAGAAAGCACCAGGAGTCTGGTGAGAATGGATATCAGGATACTATTTCGGAACAAGATTACCTCCCGATGGTATCCCCGGGCATATCTTTACCACATCAACGGCACGAACAGCCGCTGCTATCGCCTGTCACCGCCCGCCCACACTTGGATCAGTACTGGTTATCCTTTGAGGCTGCGACTAGAAAATCTCAAATGGAGAATAAGGTTGATTTCTCGGGTCCACTCGATTTGCCGACGGAGGGTCAGGGTCCGATAGAATCCCAAGCGGTGGAAGCAGTCCAGATTAGTAGCAACTGGGAAGGTGCACCTTCGGCCAATTTCCAACAACAGTTTCTTTGGTGAGGCTTTGACCAGACGTTAACAGCTTGAGATGTAAGATTTTCTGCTTCAGAAGTGGACTTTCGGCTCGCGCTTTGGTCTGGGCAGTTATTTCAAAGCCTCGGGATTCCCCCGAAATCGCCCCGCAAACCCCTGCACCTCTCGTGCTTTCACCAATGTTTAGCTCAACTTCCCCGCATTCTGCTATTCTCTGGTTTGACTGGAAGTGGCTTAAACCCATCAACTCACACTAAGTGGACAGGCCCCACGGCGGGGGAGGTGGGGTGGTTTCAATTCCCGGGGTCCTTTGACCCTGGGCAATACTGCGAAGCCATATTTATTACTATCCAGCATCATTTTCACTTGTTGGATGGTGAGCTCTCCTCAATTCGTATCAAAGGATGGCGATCAAAAAGGTATTCACACGAGATTCCCAACTACCCGACGAATACTAACCTGTATCACAGGTCATTATAGTGGGAGCCGGCCCCTCGGGGCTGATTCTCGGGATTTTGCTAGCTAAGCAAGGCATTGAAGTCGAGTTATTCGATGCTGGCGCCCAGCTAGACGAACAGCCCCGTGCGGCCCATTACGCGACCCCAGCAGCCTACGAACTGGCACGGGCGGGTGTTCTAGAAGACGTCAAAGCCCGAGGCCTTCACCCCAAGAACTTTGCCTGGAGAAAGATCGATACAACATTTATCGCTGGAGTTCACCACGATTCTTTACCGGAGGACTATCCTTACAAAATGGTTGTACTTCCTCTCGATCGATTGGGCAAACTGTTATACGAGCATATCCAGCGTCAACCCACAGCACAGGTCAAATGGTCGCATCGCGTGGTGAAAATTGGTCAGGATCAGGGCAAGGCTTGGGTCGAAGTGGAGACCCCGACTGGCTTGAAACGATCTGAGGCAGACTATGTCGTTGGATGTGATGGAGCAAGCAGTACGGTGCGGCGTGAGCTATTTGGCCCTGAGTATCCCGGCGAAACTCTGAATGCACAAATCATTGCTACAAATGTTCGTGGCGCGATTCCTGCTTTCTCAATGGTTGCGTGTAACTAACAATCCGGGACTAGGTATATTACGACTTCGACCGCTACGGATATTGGGACAGTAACTTTATTGTGCACCCGAAAAATTACTATATGGCAGCCAAGATAACTACGGATGGCCTCTACCGAGTCACATACGGAGACACCCCGGGCCTGAGCAGAGAGGAATATGTCGCGCGACAGCCTCAGCGATACGAGGAGATTCTACCAGGAAATCCGAAGCCGGGCGAATATCGCATCACGAACATCAGCCCTTACAAGTTGCAGCAGCGATGTGCTCCATCTTTCCGGGTCGGGAGAATTCTCCTCGCAGCCGATGCAGCGCATCTCTGTAACCCCTTGTGAGACATCCCCATCATATATTGCCCAGATAGCATATACCTGACTTATTTTACAGTGGTGGCCTAGGTTTAACGGGTGGAATTGTCGACGTGGGTAATCTCTTCGATGCATTGAATGGTATCCACAGAGGACTTGCAGACGAAAGCATTCTCGATAAGTATAGCGAAGTCCGCAAACGTATCTGGGAAGAGACGATCGATCCTATGTCGCGAGAAAATTTCCGACGACTGCATGACCAGGATCCCAACAAAGCTCGCCAGAATGATGAGTTCTTTCAACTGTGTATTCAAGCAGAGAATGATAATAAGCTCTCACAGGAGCTAGCTTTGGTAAGGTTAATAAGTCTCTGTTTCGACCTGTTTCTGTTCTAATGATCGCAGGGGTTGGATATTTTGAAGCACGACATGACACAGTATTATAACAAGCCCAAAGGCGAAGTCGGTATTCATGGATCCCATCTGTAAGATGCTTCCTCGGGATAGCTTGGATTTATACTGCAATATAGATTTGGAATCCACTAGAGCTCAATTTTCTTGAAGATGATCCATATGATTCGTGTATTTGTTTCTGCATACAGTAGATGTGAATTACTGCATCATAAATTCCACAAAAACGATCCATCATCTAACGCAAATAGGTCGCTCTCAAAATTATTGAATTCGGCCGCAAGGGCGGATGATGGCTCAAACAGATCCGCAAGATGCGTAGAGTTGGATGCAGATGGCGGCTGAGGTGACGGTCCCATTGGGACATAAGAGGAATGAGCCTATTGAAAAGTTAGCACGCGAGCTTCAAATTGGAATGAACATGATAATACCATTTGTGCAATATCGGAAACAGGAAATTGAATCGCTTCTTCTGACTGCTTAGAAAGTAAATATTGTTTGCTGGACGATAGGGCCTTTCTGGCGCCTTGTGACATGAGTAGATCTTGCTGTGTCGTCGTGCCACGACCGCGAGCTGACTGAAGTACAACAGCAAGCAATAGAATATCCTTTACATTCGCCCCTCTTTCGGAAATGCGACGTGTCAAAGTCTCCAGAGTGTTCTCGACGAGTCGTATGAGGCTGACTCTACTAACCGGCTGACCTGATAATGTTATCGAAGTGGATCCGTAATTGGTCGGGCCTTGCTGCAACGATGCTTGATTTAGATATCGCATATATCTGCAGACATTCAGGGCAGCGCTCAGGATGTCTTGGTGGAACAATGCTTGGAAAGTTTCCCAGGATGCCTCTGAGAAGTTGAATAAATCAAGACCGGATATATTTGGATCAAAGTAGTCCTGATATGAAAGAATAGAAAGTGATGATTTGATGAATGTTTGTTGAATTTCGGGGAATAAACGATGTTCGTTGTGGACGCCTGCAGTAACAACGGGTTGCAGAAGAGCAAGGAGAGGTCGATGGAGAAAAACGTCCAGGATGACGCGATTTAAGGCCCGCCCGGAAGAGTCAAGCTCTCCAAGTTCAATAGATCGTTCCAGACAAAGAGATGCCTTCTCGAAACTCTCTTCTAGGGTCTGCTTTTGCATCCAGCGCGTCTCCACGCTATCCTGTGGGTTTGTATGCTGGGCCATGTTCATCGTTTTGATTCGCTGAGATAACGATGCAGCAAGGCAAATCTGGAACAAAGAATCGGTCTCTTCACTCAGATCCCTTGCAGATGGGAGAGCCGTGGTTGTTTCGTCGAAGTCTAAGTCGTTAAGGTTGGCCGGGCAAGAGCCTTAAAGTCCAGTTCCGGAATCATGACTGGCATCCCGGAGGAGATAGACATCTGAAGGTCCATTTCAGCGATAGTGATCCAAAGTCGCTTTCGGCATTCTGCCCGAAAAGGAGTGATATCGGGAGAGGTGTGGGTGTTTATATGAAGACCCATAACCATTGCGGAGCGCACTAGCTCCCCGCTAGCCTTCCACAGTTCCTCTGCATCTGCGAGACGCAGTTGACGCGACAGCAAAAGAAGCGTCTCTGCCTGAAGTGTCGTCATCTCTGTTCTTTGCTTCCGTGGCAGCTTCTTTAGCCAGTCGCGTATGTTTCCAGGTGCACTTTCTTTCAAGTAGCCCCATGACGATGTATTACCAGCTGAGGGAGGCGTGCCCAATACAGCAGCAGTGACGGTCAATACGGCCATGAGGAGAGGAACAAAATCTTTCGCCACCGAAGCCTCCGAGTCTGGTGTCTCATTCCAAAGTTTTGCGTAATGCCGCAAGAAAGAGGGAACATGAACAATTCTCAAGGCCTTTTCGAAGCTCTTTGTATACACATCCACCAGGTGATCACAGAGAGGTTTGGGTGGAAGAGAATCTAGGAGGCACTGTAACTCTGGGAAGGACTCCAACTCTGACAGAGATTCGGGGGAGGCCGTTGGTATGTGACACTTGCTCTGGAGAAACTGGACTTCTTTAGCTAATCCAACGAGGCTCGAGTCTGTACCACACTGATTGATAAACGCTTTCGCGTCCGGGAACTGCACAGGCCGTCAGAAAAAGTCCAATCAGGAACGCGTTAAGTAGACTCACTTGGTTAAGAAGGGTAATCCTGTTATTCTGGCCATGGTAGCGGGAACGAGATCCTTTGATCACCAATGTGCCTTGGAAAGGAGTAGAAAGAGGGGGCTTCTCCTGAGGCCTTATAAATGGTCAACATGAGGACCGAGGATAGCTTGATGACAGGGAGAGTGGTGACTAACCAGGAACATTCAATGCTGGCATTTGTTAGAGGACCAAAGTCGGTCGAATTTGGTCGAACAGAGGCAAGCTCCTCGAGATGAAGCACGCGACGCTGTAGATCTTCGATGATGCCGATGTTCCGAGGAGGGTCCAGCTGGACCCGCTGGTCGGATTCCTCGGAGATGTCGAGGTGGACTCTCTTCAACTTCGGTTTCGGCTTTGGAAGTGAGGCATTTGAGGGATCGGGAGAATTAGATGAATTTGGCGCGGGATGCTGGCTGTATGTGCATTCCGCGATGCAGACTGCCTTGATGCAATTCTGACAAGGGGTAGCCCGGTCGCATTTCAGCTTCTTATCCCGACATCGCAAACAAGAGACGACCGGCCTTGGGCGCGGTCGCTTCCGCGATGGTGGACTATCACTATCCATCAATAGATAGAATATGAAGGAGCCCAGGTCACGCTATTCTAGTGGAGGCCCGAGTGTTGCGATGTCGTTTGCCGGTTTGCTGCTAGTTTGTATGGCGTTTGCTGTGCGGTGTGACAAGAGAAGATCCCAGCACAGACCGACTCGACATGAAGCCATCAAGCAATTACGGAGGTACCCCCCTCAACCACCCAACAAAGTTGGAGTCTGGATCGTTTAGACTGCCAGGGAATATCCTCCAAATGTCTATCGGATGGTATCTCCTCAAAAAATTGACAAACAACTCAGTGACGGAAAACTGGTAACTATTCATTTCAACAACAATCAACGCCTGCAAGCCACACTTGATGCGATGGTGCGATTCCCACAGATGATATCACCAAGCAAATATTTCCGATAGGTTAACTCTAAGGCTACCTGGTTCTTCACGTCGGACCTTATACGGAGTACCGAGGTTGCCATGTGCAGCTTCCTACTCGTACAGGCTTCCTTTGAACCCCTGATGCATCCCTGACAGCGGCGATCACTCCTTCTCGCTTTTGCGAAGACCAATCAGGTCATCAAATGCCAAGCTGAAGATTCAAGAAAGTTGGTTCGCTTAAAGTGAAGCTCCAATTGAGGTAGTCCATGTGATGCCGTCATTGCCTTGCGCCATAGCGACAATCAAAGACGATCACCTCGCTTAGATGGAGACGGCCCGTATTACGAGTGTATAAAATCGGGTATAAATCGAGACTCGGAATAGTCACATCACGGCACTGATTGACACTCTGTCCTGCTACGCGTGTCAGTATTTCAGAATGAAGCACTTCCCTATTTCCTGGAAGGTTCTCACCGTTGCCATGACCTGCGCTAGCGCAGTGGTTGCCAACAATCCCCTAGCTACACCGGACCAAAAGGAGTTGGATTCACTTGCTATCAAGCTCAATCAGAATTATGATTTCGTCGTGCTCAAGGCCGAAGCTAAAGCCGCATATCAAACTGCTCACGGGCTCCCGATTAGTGACGAAGCCTCTTCTCGTCTCGACGCAGCAATCGACGAATTGGCTTTCAGTGCTCTCCAAAAGGCCATAAATACGGACCCTTATCATCCCAAAGCATATTGGGTTGATGCCGGACCTCGAAGCTGGTTTGATCTTGATGTTCCTGGTGGTCGATACTCATACGACAACCCGGATTGTATCTATCGCACTATTCCAATCGACGACAGTTTAAATTACGTGATTCAAGGATACCGCCACACCCTGGTCCTATAGATGTTACTTTCTCTTTGATTAGCGATCCAAACTCACAAAATACCGTGGCACATCTGTTCGGTTCTGATTTGGTCATTGAGGACGATGGTTCCTACACAATCACTATCAACAGCTCGTCTGCGGACGGTGCAAAGAATCACATCCAGTCTACTTCATCGGGAAAGCAGCTTTTTGTGCGAAACAATTTGGGCGATTGGCAGTCTGAAAAACCAGACAACATATCCGTTGCGTTGATTGATGATGCCTCAGGACAGGATCCGATCAGCGAGTCGAAAATTATTAGTACCGCAAGATGGAATTTGCAGGAATCAATCGTGGACTACGGGGTTGGCGCATTGGGAATCAAGACAATGATCAACAAGCTAAACACCCTCAAAGCACCAAGTCAGTCTAGCACCTTGGGCACCTTGACGAGCCAGGCTAGCTCCTTCGGCCATTTCAAGCTAGGCGACCAGGAAGCTCTTGTCGCAACAGTTACCCAAGGTGATGCGGATTATTTTGTCTTTCCCTGGACGGACCCTTGGATGATCACAACTAAGCCAGGAAACAGCCAAGTCAGCCTGAATAATGTTCAGGCTTCTGTTAACGACAATGGAACTTACACTTTCGTGGTATCTCCTGAGGACCCAGGAGTCTACAACTGGATCAACACAACTGGTTTAAATGAAGGGACAGCCATGGTGCGTTGGCAAGGCTTATCTGATGATGCGACTTCCTCATCGAATCCCCCATCTATAGTTACTCAAGTAGTCCCGCTGTCCGAGCTTGAATCTATTCTACCATCGGGAACGCGATTCGTGACACAAGAGGAGCGCTCAGAGCAATTGAGTAAGCGACGTTCGGGATACTCTCAAAGAACTGCGACATGAAGGCAGCGTGGGTGTGGAAACATAAACCTCCAGGGCATGCAAGCAGGGTCTTAGAGGTCATCTTACGATGCTATTTGCTGCCACTAATATATGTGGTTTCTCTGCTTCCAGGGCTTAGAAATACAATCTAGATTCCATTTTCAATAAAAGGGCTTTGTTTTCAAGTTCAAACATAAAATATTATTTCAGATCCATTCCAAATTAAACCACTCTAGAACATGAGGGTGGCCGGCGGGTAAGAAGAGAAATGAACGCCCAATGAGAAAATCCTCAATTTCACGATATTCAAGAGCACCGCATCAATTTGTGATAACGGGGCAAGAGTTATCCCACTTTGTTTGAACAGCTGTATCAACCAAAAAGGAAGCAACACTCTTCCGGCTTGCAGACGCCATCAATGGCACACCCTTCCCATCATTTGACCACTCGTGCAAATCCATAGCATCGCTTTCCACTAAACGCGAAGGTCGCACCATAACATAGGTAACACCACTTTGGCGGACCTCACGGTCAGTATGGTTGTGATCGGTGTACTGGTAACTCATGTTGGACATGCTCATCAGCCCCCTCATCAGGCAGGGCATATTATCCCACGAAGCGCCCACTCCAAAGGCCTGGAGAATAACGATCTTTGAGACTTTGAACTCCTTCATGACGGATATCACATTGGCATTGCTGTCAGCCATTAAACGTGGTGGAGAGATCGGGGCAGCGAATGGACTGTCAGAGGCTCTTGGGGCACTAAGAGTCACGACTACTGCGTCTGGTGCTTGTATTTTGAAGGCATCTCGTACGTTTTCGATATTTGTTGGAGTCCCTGTAATAAAGTTAGTCATTTGTCTCTGTGCAAGTAGTAGCATCGTAGAATTTCATACCTTCGACAACATTCACGTCTGGGAAATCGACCATCGAGGCCGGGTTACGAACCAATGCTGTGACTTGGTGTCCTATTTTGATATTAGCGAATTATTCAAGAGGGTTATCAGTTACTGCTTCAGTCAAAGCATACCTTGACGTAGGAGCTCAGAAATAGTGAGCTTTCCAGTGCGACCACTTCCTCCGATGATAAGAATGTGCATATTGAGGTGATGAGCGACTTGTGGTGGTTCTTGCAAAAAAAGATGATCGTTTGTATTAAGGAGTTAATGAATGATCACGAATGAAGAATTAATTTGGAACTAATCGAGGCCACAAACTAAAGCTTCTTATAGATAATTCCGGCGATTGTTTTTGGTGGTGATGAATCGGATCCGAGAATGACAGTCCGGATCCGAAGCAACCACACCCGCTTTCTCCGAGGGGCTTTGGTTTCTAAGAATTTGACCCCCAACTGCATAACGACCAAGATTATTTGGCTTAAGGATCAATTTGAAGCGTAATATCACAGTATTATACTTTCGGGTGGGTTTTTCCCACTAGATTTCCCATTCCACGAGTATCAGAGGCGTGGTATACAACGCGACATTATCTCCGACTGCGTCGGTCTTTGTATACGTGAGGTAGATCTCATTGGAGTCGGGCAGGGAAAGTGCCGGATTTGCCTGTAAGGTATATGCTCCCAATGAATAATTTCCGTTGACACCAGAGTAGAATTTAACTGGCTCAGTCCATGGTCCTTCTGGTGCAGGCGAAGTGGTGATGAAGAAATCCGCAGAGACCGAGTTACTGGCCTGTCCGATCCAGACAAACGACTTCCAATGGTTGGAAAAGTAGTAAGTTCCTTGGCCGCCGGCAGAGGCATTCTCCATCGTTGCTGCACCGTCGCCTAGTTCTGGCTGAGTTGTTGTCCAGCCCCCGTTCACGTAGAATTCGTACTTGGACTTGTCTTCGACATTGGCAACGGGTACACGTGCGAGATTCACAGAGCCTCCCGTGGCTTGTCCCCAGATGTAAACGATGTCATCTTGGACCACACCCCCATATGTACCAAAAGGAATATCGTTCTCAGCCCAGAAAGCTTGGTTGATCAACTCAGCCTTGGGGGGGTCCACTTGCCCCGGACGTATAGGTGACGCGGTAGAGAGCGACGGATGGGTGTTGGATAAGGTCGGAAAGACCCGAAATATGAGAGTTGCTGATCCACGTATATCCAGTAGTCGTACCACTAGAATCCGAGCTGGTAACCAGAGGAGGTGCGTTGGCCCACAGCGGATATCTCGTTCCGTCTGAGCATATCCCAGCCTGGTTATCGTCACAGTTCCCAGGAACAAGTGGATAGAAAGAATTGTCTTGATTATCACCGTACATGGTCAGCTGAGAGCCGCCACCAGTGACCAAGTCCGACCATGATGCAGAGCTAGTAAAAATTGGCAAATTCGGGATTCCATCCGAATCATAATGCTGTGTGTCTCGACACACCCACAAAGCACGATCTCCAAACAGAGAAGATCCACAGGAGTCTCGATTCAAAGAAGGGTCTGCCAAAATTCCAACTACTTGTGGCGTTCCTTTCACGACAGGCTTTGTAGAATCCCGCTTCTCCTGGTTGCTTGGGACCGCGAGGGTTATGTGAACCAAACAAGCTGCTAGAAGGCTGAATTTCATTATGAAGCTGAGATTAAAAAATCCTCTGAGGTGTATATCGAAAATTCGAAGAAGATGAGCTCTATACCAAAAATATTCCCCTCCTTTTCTCTCTCTAAGAAACGCATGTTTACATCCCTTTTTTGTCATTTTGTTTCGTCTAAAGATCAAAAGGGTTTGTCCTCACGTTGCAACGCATGAAACTCGGACTGGGCGCTATGGGCGGCCCTGTGCGCTGCTAGGCGCTTGCCGAGTCACTCGGGCCCCTCCGACGGTCACGAATGCCGTGCAGACATGTGGGGTAGTAAAGTTGAAAATTGATTAAACATTCTATAGGAGTTTCTTCTGTTGATAAACGAAGAGCTCAATGAGGCACTTTCGATTCACGTGAATCTGAATCGATGTGTGAAAAGGATAGGGAACTAACTAGAGGTTGAATTCCCTACAAAAAGTGGTAACAAATGATTTCATTTTCGCCCTTGTAAACGAAACATCATATACTTACTGGAGCAACAAGAAGTTGTCGTCTTCGAAGCCCCGACGCGGGTTTTTTGACCGTTTTCAGACCGCTTTTAGAAGTTATTCACGCAATTGCACTTGAAAGAAAAACGAGGCTGACTGTGAGGCATATTACTTGCGTTTTCCAAGTGGAGAAGGACGGATTTCGGCTGTCGCTTACCCCGAGCCCGCAATCAATTACTTTGCCGAGCGATTCGCTTCGGCACACCGGTGGCTTATTAACCATTCTATTCGGGTTAATGAGGTTCCTAGTGCTACTATAATATGGATAGTCCCACGAAAGTTCTCTGTAAAACGCATGTCTTCTCTTTGGCGAATATCTCAGAGGTCTCGGTCAACGGGATTGTTGGTCCCGATATCGCCGCAAAATCCGGGTTAATATAGACACGGCGGGGAGCATGTGTCCAAGCCATCTGTGTGAACCCAAAATGTCAGCGCCGATCAGAAGCCCTTGGAACAGAATGAGCCCCGCAAAGCCCCCTGCGCCATTAGCAGACAATACCCCTGGCCGTCGATTCTGTCTCAGATGTCTAGTCCGACTCCTATGATGATGCCCCGGAGCATTTCCCCTTATGAGACAAGACTCTGGAATATAATGTTACACCAGATAGCTAGACCATAAATGTATTAGCTTCGTATGATGACATTGTGACTCCTTATAGATTATGTCTGCGAATTATACCTGCGGCCGTTAGACCGATATTGTGGCTTGAAAGGTTGCATCGATGAACTATGGTCTAATACCTTGATGCAGCCAAGTATCATATTCACGCGAAATTGTATTATATCGCGATTTAATAGGTTAACTTGTTTTCTGGAATATGAATTGGGCCACCGGTGAGCACAGTCCAATGAGACCGGTACAAGCCGACGGCCTTGTGTAGTTCGTGGTCAATGCGTATTATCCACTCTCGGCTTTTTAGGGCAGATTTGATTCGTTTGGTTTTCCAGTACGCGGGGCCCCGGATTCTCTATATTGTGTGCTATCTGGAGAGCAAGTCGGTGATTTAACAGGAGAATAATTACAAGGACTTTCTTCAATTTGGGAAAGATGTTTAATACCTTTGTCGGTGTCAGTAACAGTGACTCGGTACAAAATCCAACTGAGCGACGTCGTTCAATTGTTACTAAAGCATGCGTGGAATGTCGCAGACGCAAAACCAAGTGCGTCGGAACGCAGCCTTGTACGGGCTGTCTGGCCTGTAACGTGGAATGTGTTTTTCCTGAATTTCGTCGGAGAGGAAGGAAGTGAGCATGGCCCACCATTTTGATAAACGCTTCCTTCGACTGACATTTCAACTCCGATAGGAGCCAGAAGGTGGCAACGAACGCTGCCCCTGGTGGGGACTATGAGTCTGTTGTCAAGCTTCTTTTTCCAAATACCTCTATACAGACACTCAAAGGTCTTTCACGGGCAAACTTATTGGAGCAAGCTCGGCTGGAAGGTGACTTCACTCCGGGCACAAGCAACTATAGCTCCTCGGTCACATCGCCCGACGTTGCATTTGCACACAAGCCGAGATCCGTGCCGGATACGGATGCCAATGATCGACTCTACAAATTACAGTATCAAGACTCGGCCATTTTTGAGTGGGATGAGAATTCGCCAGGGGTTTGCACTTCAATGGAAGACGATGTGAATGCACTTTCTCTATCAAAAGATCCCAAGTCCTCATTTGTGGGGATTTCATCTGTCGCTGCAGCTGTGAGGGCTTTGACAAAAATTCTCCCATCCCGGATAGAGGATCAATCTAGGCCAGGAAGAGCAAATTCCGAAATATTCGAAGATCTGCGAACGACAACAACAACAACAACCTCGAACCCCGAGCCAATATGTTCATACCGTGAGGAACAGCGGTTGATTGACGCCTATTTTGCGAGAATTCACGTTTTTGCTCCCGTCATACACGAGCCCAGTTTTCGCAGCAGGTATCTGAATCATCAAGGAACTACTGATCGATCATGGCTTGCGCTTTTGAATATAGTCCTCGCACTCGGCAGTATAAGCTCCTCGGCAGGAGACTCCGAAGAGGATCTGCAGTACTTCCATTTGGCTCAACAGTATCTGTCGCTGGAAAGCTTTGGCAGTGGTCGGTTAGAAACTCTACAAGCACTTCTGCTCATGGGAGGACAGTACCTGCATTTCCGGAATCGTCCAAATATGGCTTCCGCAATTATCGGGGCTTGCTACCGGATTGCAAGTGGTCTTGGGCTACACCTACAGTCCCCCGAAGACATACAGGGAAAGGTTTGTCCCCAAGAAGAGATAAAGCGCCGCAACTGGTGGACTATTTATGTTCTCGATACCTGGGGCTCTGTGACGTTAGGTAGACCTTCGACTACGCATGGGATTGCGGTAGATTTACCAAATAACCTTCTCGATGACAAGGTATGACCCTTCAATTGGGAACAGTTTGCCTCCGTCCATGGCAGCCACGGTATACTAATTTTTCGTCCAGCGCGGTATCCTTCCTATGTCGGAGCCCACGATAAACTCTCCTCTCATTCATAACATTCAGCTGTGCAAGATCATGAACCTGATCCAGGATCGCTTAATAGTGAATTCAGTTATGGCAGACGATGAGCTCCGGCACTATGATGAGATGTTGCGATCATGGTTTGAAAACCTACCACCATTCCTACACTCAGCCAATATCTGCCCACCCGACCTTCAGGATGCCCGAGTGGTTCTCAAGTGGAGGTATCACAATATCCGATTTCTATTACACAGGCCAATCCTCCTCGACACAGTCATCAGAAATATTTCGATGGACCATCTCGCTCTCAACGAGCGGCTAGCTGTCTCCAAGTGCCGGGAAGTCGCCATGGAGACCATTTTTAGCATTCAGGCGGAATGGCGACCCAACAAAATTTGTTGCTGGAATGCTGTCTGGTTCCTATTTCAAGCTTGTCTTATCCCATTAATGGCGATTGCGGTTGAATCGAAAGACCATGCAGAGTATCAAAACTGGTGCAATCAAGTTCAAACTGGGATAGATGCTTGCGAGGAGATGTCACAATTCAGCCCAGTGGGGCAAAAGACCAAGACTTTTCTTACGCAACTCTTCATGGCTGTTGTCCGTAACCCAACAGTCAATTTCAAATACGATGTGAGCGCAGAGGCTCAACCCCCGATCGATACGGTCATGGGACTATTCGCTGGTGACTGGGATCAGTTGAATGGGTACAATTTTTTTGGACATATCAATACAGTCGGAAACCCCTACCTTGACGACCATTTTCTTGAGCAATACTACGCCCCAAACAGTATTTGAATTTTCATAAGAGCTTTTGGGGGATGTTCATAGACGAGGGACAGTATACTCGCTTTGATGGATTTTTGGCGTTCTCTTTTCTTATACCCTGGTTGTATGTCCTGCTTGCCTGAAGCTTTTTTTTGGTCTAACACTTGAAATTCTCCGACTTCTATCTTCCATCGTATATACAAATTTTCCTATGACGAGTCTCATGTGCTATTGATATCCACTCATCCTCCGTTAAAGCTGAAAAATGAAGTCTCAAGCCCAACGCCAAGCTTATTTGATCCAAGAACAAAGCCATTGTTGTCCACTCTGCTATTTCATCAGTCAAAGAAGAATAATCAAGCTTCCGCGGCTTTGTTTAATATATTGTTTTTCTCTTTTGGTACTGTTCGCTTCACTCTTAGGGGTATATAAAGATGCAAGCTACTTCCTTTCACATTCTTCATTATGCATCTCCACCAAGGCCTCTAGCGAATCTTCACATTTCGCTCCAGGGCTCTTACTATCTGAGTTTTCCCAGGAGTCCGACATTACAAGTGCTGCTAGGCACAACAAAAGTCAATTCCCTGCCATAATGAATACCGACTCCGAAGCGGGTGCCGCTGAGTACACAGGAGCTCTCTGGCTGAATATTAAGTTCGTTCCCTCTGATAGTGACTTATCGGATAGAGATCTCCTCGATAAGATTATTACCTCGATTCAAAGTCGACAGCTAACTATCTCCTGTCATTCTCTCGCCGCGTATGCATCCCTCTTTTTTTCCATCAAGATTAACGGGCCATTCCACGGCGTGGACGATATTTATAAAGAAGCCTCTAGTAATGTTGAGGCTTGGCTACAAACAGTTGATCTGATGGGACTTCCATTTTCACGCTGGGAGATATTCAAACTTTGAGTCAGCCCTGGAGGCGAGACTCCTTAGTATGCATTTAAATGAGAGCACAATTCCATCTTCTGGGCTGCTGAGGACATTGGTCGGCAAAGAAGCCGCAGTTTCACGACGCAAGTTTTAGAGGATGTGGCTTTCGAAATCATTTCCTTTGTTGTTAAGCAATCATCACAAATATCACTTTTCAAAATTCATTCATTGGCATGTATTACTCTACTTTTAGGTAGTTTCAGGCTCTTTCAATTGTAGTTATATAAACATTCGCACGTAAGTCAATTAATTTTCTCGACTTGCAGTATTATTTCTAAAGCTCGGTTAGATTAATCAAGCTGATTGAATACTCGAGATATTGAGACTCAAACTTTGAACAGAAAAGCTCAGCTTAACGGTCAATTTGCATACCTGGAGAGGATATTAACCATTTTCATCACATAATCACTCTGCTGAAGTCCTCTATTTTTGACGTGGTATCCACTCAAGACGGCCAGGACAAACCGTCATAAGCAAAGAGCCTGAGCAAAAACATCAGACAAATGACGCCCATGGTTACTATCGCTGAGACAAAAACAAAGAAGCAGTTTCAGTACCCTTTCTTTGATATATAAAATATTTCCTTGTTGAAAAGCTGTCTCCTCCACCTGAGCACTGGCATATAAAACATTTCTCTGCTCTCCTCATATCGAGTCCAACATACTCGAGTCATATCTAGAAAATCATCCCATACCATCACCTATAAACAAAATGCCCCAATATTGCTTTCCACTCGTTTACTGGGTTACGATTGAGTTCGAAGCTTCAGATAAAAACAAGACCAATTTAGCCATTACAAGAGTTATTCTTAGGGCAATTAAGGAAAAGCGAGCAATACTCACAGGCCCGGTACACGAGAGACCCCCATGGAGACCCTTGACTCACACCATGATGGTTATTGTCAATGATGTCTATAACATGGAAAATGAGGCCTATGATAAGGCAGAGCAACTTGTGAAGGATATGGTCCCAAGGATTGTTACTCATGGTCTACCTTTTACTCATCAGAACGTTTTTGGTATGTGATTTCGGTAGGTCTGCTAATCGAATTGCGTACATATCGTGTCTCTTAGTTCTTGTTGTTCAAAGTAATATCATTCTGGACAAGCCAGTGCCCATGTTCTTCAAAGACACGAAAACAAATATTTTAGCCAGCGTATGCTCTATATAAGTCAATGCTAGCAAGGTACTAGGTATCAATTCTTCTTCTATCTGATACCACGGGGAGATTCAAGGGGAAATTAATAATTTTACCAAATGGCATGCTAATAATAAAAGGCTGTAATTTCCACCTGGTGGGAATTTACTAAATCAACCCCTCTCTCACCTCTTCTCTACACAGAAATTGCCTATACTATCACCTCATCACTCCCCACGTACAGTAAGGTATGTATCTGTTCGCCAAAGGCTTTACCAGTGAGCAAAGCATTACTCACCGCGAATCTTTGCTAAATCTTGGTAACATATGGAAAACGCTAGTCTCACCTAATGTTTTTTTTTCCTATTATTGTGATTACCACCATAAATAACTAGATGCAAGCTCAGAATCGCTCACCGGCTCAGCAAATGTCCCATTGTCTATGATAACAAATTCCCTGCCCTTTGTTCATCTGCTAGTATTAATGGCAAACAAAGCCTATTCATATAAAGGGTTGCAACAATCAGATCGAGACTACCATTGTCATGGGTCAAGACAAAGCACAAAGGTAATCTCTAGCCAATTTCCGCCTCCAATGAAGCTATATAAGAACCCCTCGACTGCCCTCAAAATAGAAATCATACAGCAGGCCTGAGATTCAAATAATCAGTAAACAGCTAAGTCAACTTACTCCTCCCACTACTAATGTCGAATAGTCGCACATCATCACCCTCGGCCAGCCTCATGTCTTCGTCGTCGGAAGAAAGTTTCGACCCGATAATGTACTGGGTCGTCGTATATTTCACCGAAGCAGATCGCTGGATGACAGATATGCAGTTGCTCCAGAAAATGCGCGTCGACATTAAAGACCGGCACGCCGTTACCTGGACCCCGATCGATCCTGGATATACTGCTTATAGATACCCCCTTCTAGTCATTAGCTTAGACAACGACCTTGACGAACTCTTCTCTACGGCAGAGAGTGTTATTGAGACCTTCATTAAGGAATACGCCGACCAGGGGCCGCCTTTCCGCCGGGTAGATCTTTTTCCTTCCCTCGAAGAGGAGGAGGATAAAACTTGATCGGTCATATTATCATACGATTTTTTTGGGATATTATACTTTGATGTATTGAAGCTCTGCTGAGGGCATTGGTCGGTACGTAAAACCGCAGCCTCACGACGTAATCTTCATTATGACTAGTATGCACACCGCTTCATATTAATATAAAATGTTTTTCATGAAACCTATTGACTAAACTATACAATAGCGTAACTTTAACTCTTCCATCAAGCTTCATTTTGATGGGATATTTTGAATGCAGTAAGCCGTAGTCATCTTCCATTTTTTATTTTCGAAACTATAAGCAGAGAGCCTAGAAGCTGGGATACTGCTGTCCAATTATATCAAATAAAGAATCAAAATTCGCCCCTTGAAGCAGGTCAACCATATTGAGATCAAAATTTGGACCATTCTGTAGCTGGCTAGCATCTGTTTGCTGGAAATCGAGTGCCAAGGAAGAGGGTGTATCTGCTAGAGTCGGTTCCCCATTGAGATTCACAGGTTGGAAATGCCTTTGTACAGAATCCAGTCCAGGTTGTAAACCCATGACAGTGTGATTTCCAAAGCCTGCTATTGCTGGTGGATACGATACGTCGGATTGCGACGCATGTCTTCGCACCAACGCATCATCCGACAATGTTCCACGCGGACTGTGTGGCTCGCTCGAACGCCTGTTCAGCTTGGCTCGTTTCTGCTCTCGCTGTTCCGCGGGATCCAAAGGTTCTGCCTCGCCTCTCCTTCTTAATGTGTAAGAATGAGCTCTTGCTGCGGCATCGGGGTCATTCTGGACTTGTCGAATTTTGGCAGCTAGAACGGAAAGTGCGAGTTGGCAATGCCTGGCCGTCTCCCATTGGACAGACATCCGGTTTAGAAACCCCGAGCACGCATCAATCTCCTGAAGACCTTTCGCGATAACATATTGGTTAAGCTGGCAAGCAAAAGCCAAGACTAAGCCGGACATCCACGCCGCGGATAAGAAGCCAGGCCAGAACAATGCCTGTCTGCTATCTACCTGGCTTTTCAATGCGGCCAGGATAGCCCTGGCGGCACCAATGCATGTTTGCAGCCCCGAGCAGAATTCTGCTGTGGTCGGGTCCGACGATAATGACGGCCGATGAATGATGAGAATAAGATGCTGGTATAGCACCGTGAAGAATGGACCAAAGTCAAACGGGCTATCTGTGTCAATAGGGTTTCCTGGTATTTTCCCCTGAAGTTCGAGTGGCAGACTATTCCACCATTTGTGCACATCGGTCACGAGGAAAAGAATCGAGCTCCGGCGGACGGACCGGACGAGGATAGACTTATGGAAAATCTCCAATGCTCGACCCGTTAGTGTTCCAGAGTCGACGTAGCTAGCCAAGACTGTTTCTTTCTTGCGATTCTCTGCTTCTGAGGCACTTCTTGAACGATTTTCACTAGGGCGAGAGGGCACAGGTTCCTTTCCATTTTCAGAACTATCGACCGGAGTGTGTGACGCGCTCTGTAAATCTTCGTTCGCCTTCCAGCCCATGTATCGCCGTCTTGGCGTGTGTATTTCTGACGCAGCAGGTAGACAAACATCGATATCTGAGTCTTGTATCCCGAGCGGTAGACCCAGGGCTTGACTCAAGTAGCGATCGATAGCATATGCGCACCAGAATATGCGCTTCCTCAACTGCCTATCATGTGACGAGAGCTGTGTATAACGGAATGGACATCGATGCAGACCGGCATGAAGAACAGAACGTAAGACACATCCGCCGAAGGTGGACGCCAGTCTCAGGGACATGGTCGCAATAAGGTAGACTTGCACAGAGAGGAGTGCTTGCAATGAAGCGATATCGTGCCGAGTTGCCAGGACCGCAAGCAACGAGGTCATATTAGTTGGTGACTGAATTCGGCATTCAGCCGGTAGCTCCAGGTCCAGGCGGAGTAAGTTTCCGAGGTTGAAGATGCATTGGAAAACTACTGTCCAACACAAGCTCCTATGATCTGATGATAAGGTGTCTTGGCTTGGCTGATCTGGTGTCTCACTGGAATATAGCCCCTCCATGGCCTGCAAAAAGGTGGGGCCGTGCAAAAATGGGAAGAGAGGATGCCAGACTTTGAAGTACATCATCATGAGTTCTTTGGACAGTTCAAGGGGCGGGGCTTGACCCAATGCCGAAGCAATGGTTGGATCATATCTCCAGTATGCATGGTCTTCCCTTGCCCCTTGAGGGGAGGTTGAGTCTGCGCTCGAAGACGCGGTAGGACGTCGTTTCTGCTGAGGCGAGTCTTCTGCACCGACTAGGGTGTCCTCTGCTGGTGGAAACTCCGTTTCCGGTGACCCTTGGGTATCTTGACCCGTTGAAAATGCACGTCTGACGGTGTTGACGAAGTAAACGCCGCTGGAGGAGCCGACGAACTGGCTGTCCTCATTGGAGTTGGCCGTTATGGAGCCAATCTCGGAGGTTCCGGGCACGTACTCTGGCGGGTCCATTGTGAGCTGAGCATCTCGCCCTAGCTAGTAGCTAGAGAGACTTGGAAATCTCATGAGCTTTTTACTTGGAGAGTTGGAAAAATTCCTTACCCTCGGCTTCAAACTGAGGAGGTTGGAATGCTTAGTCATGGTACTCTGGGCGTGGCAACGCCAACACAACTTCAAATTCTAAGGTTAATGTCCATTAGAGGGCCGAGTTGAAAGCAGAACATAAGATTAGCTGGTGGAACTGATTACGGAAAGCAATAAAGTAAAAGCAAATCAGGCACTCGGCCATCCCATTAGGTTCACGGCACTACACTCCTGGATCCGGGGCAGTAAGAGGGACAAACGAGGCCCTTCCGCGAGGAGGACATATCTCTATGTTACAAGGTAAGAAAATATGGGGAAATACTAGGGAGGAAGATAACGTGAAACAAAGATTTCAGGGGGACAGGAAGAGAAAGACGTCACAACTCCCTCCCAAAGAAAAAAAAAAAGGAAAAAAAGGTAGATCTTAACAAACCCACGTCCAGCGCCCAAAGAAAAAACTTTTACCGACCTCGTCCCTGCAGACAAACGTATCCCTTGAGAAAAAATCTCAAGGCATGAGACAGGAGGTTTGGATCTGGAGGGGGGTGTACGATAGGAGAGGCAGGAGAGATTGAATCGAAGTCGTGCCGCGTTCACTAAACCACCAGTAGGTGACACTGCCTAAGACAAGAAAACTTTTCAAACCGAGGGATATCGAGATCGGAGGGAAAGAGGAGCAGAGCGAGAAAGGTTCAACAGTAGAAAGGAAAAGAAAAATGAAAGGTCATCAAAACGTGCGTCCAAGAGGTTCCGAGCGAAGTAAAGTGTCGACCATTGGGTCTACCACATTCTCCAGCGTCTGATTGAGACACGTCATTTAAGACTTGTTCTCCTCCGAGGAAGCCTCCTTGGCGGCCTCCTGGGGCTTAGACTCGGCGGGAGCCTCACCCTCGGTACCCTTGTTCTTCATATACTCATCATAAACATTGAGAGCCTCGTCAACCTTAGCGCGGAGAGCATCCTCATCATCAAGCCTATTAGAGAAAAGCATTAGCACACCAGTTCTTGGTTACAGGTGAGAAATGTTAGGGGGGGGAGGGAACTTACAGGCCAAGCAGCTCAGCGTTATCCATCTCCAGAAGCATACCGGTGATCTTACCGGCAAGCTCGGGCTGTTGAGCCTGGATCTTGGGGTAGAGAGCTTCACCGAGCATCTGCTTCTGCTGCTGGGGGGGAGCGGCGAGGATAGCGGGGTTGCTGGAGGCAGACTCGGTCTGACCGGGCTGACCAGCGGGGGCGGGCTGACCGCGACCCTGGCCACGGCCCATACCCTGAGGACCACCACGGCCATATCCGGGACCGCCACGCATACCCTGACCCATAGGCATACCAGGAACCTGGCCACGACCACCAGCACCACGGCCGAACTGAGCCTGCATGGGGTAGCCCATACCGTTAGGCATACCACCGGGGACTTGCATACCCATGGGCATACCCTGGAAGTTGGGGGGAAGCTGCTGGTTGGGGCCCATACCGCGGCCACCCTGCTGGGGGAAACCACCGGGGTACTGGCCGGGACGTCCACCGGGCATGCCAGCCATGACCATACCGGGCTGGGGAGGGAAGGGCATGCCACCGCGCTGACCACCGGGGATGAATCCTTGTTGGCCGGGGCCGTAGAAGACGGCGGGCTGCATGTAAGGCTGGGGCATACCGGCAGCGGCAGCGGCCTGCTGCTGGCGGATGGTGTTGCGGGCCTGGATGCTAGCCTCGAGCTGGCTGCGGCGGACATCCTTGCGCTGGGCAAGAGCAACGTAGAGGGGCTTGCCGTTGACCATGCGCTGGTTCATCTCAGTGACAGCCTTGGAGGCCTCATCGGGGCTGCTGAAGCAAACGAAACCGAAGCCCTTGCTCTTTCCGAGGAGCTTCTTCTCGGACTTGTCGTCCTCCTCCTGCTCCTCCTCGCCCTCCTTCTTCTCCTCGGTCTTCTCCTCGGTCTTCTCCTCCTCTTCCTTCTTCTCCTCCTTGACTTCCTCCTCCTTCTCCTCGGCCTTCTCCTCGGCCTTCTCCTCGGTCTTCTCGGAGGTCTCCTCGGAGGTCTCACCCTCCTTCTCCTCAGGAGAGGGAGAGCCCTCGGTCAGGGAGTCACGCATGACCTTGGCGGAGGTGATAGTGCCGTAGGGGGCGAAGAGGTCACGAAGCTTGTCGTCGTTGACATCATCAGTCAGGTTCTTGACGTACAGGTTGACACCCTGGTACTTGGAGGCCTTCTCGAGGCGAGCAGCCTCGTACTGCTTGCGCAGCTCCTCCTCACGCTCGTGCTTCTTCTGAGCACGGCCAACGTAGAGCTTCTGGCCCTTGATGTCCTTCTCGTTCATCTCCTCGACGGCGGCCTGCGCGCTCTCGTGGGTGGAGTAGTTGACGAAACCGAAGCCACGGCTCTTGCCCTCCTGGTCGTGGCTGAGGGTGGCAGAGGTGATCTCACCGAAGGCCTCGAACATGATGCGGAACTCCTCGTCGGGGATCTCGGTGTCAAGGTTCTTGA